TTGCACGGAAGAGGTCTATCTGCGTCTTCTGCATTCCTTGATCTTCTGCATTCCTTGACAGGAAAAAGAACTCGCACAACGCGAGTCACAAGCTCTTCATTTTCATGGCCTTATGATCAAACAGGAATATTCTTGGCGATGGCTTGGCCAGTGTGCCAGCTAACAGATCAGGGCTAACATCCGACGAGAACTGATAGCACCGACTTGTGTGATTCTTGGATTTTCACCACGAGAATGAAACCGATCCCTTCCTCAGATGTTGCCGTTCACTTCTCAGTATGGGATATCTTGACTCTCTTGGCTCACTTGACTCACTTGACTCAGCTCCCAAGACGCTCGTGCAAAGATTGGAACGCGGACGGTGGAAACACCGGCGACGCTGACACAGTCCGCCGATGAATCGTTAAAGAAGAGGCCAAGGGGCAACAAAACTTACTTGCTTGGTTGCACTCAGTGCAAAGAACTTCCATGACGTTTGCTCGCAGTGTGTGCTCGGGTGAAGCAGTCAAATCCTGACACGATTGACTGGCTGCTATCCTTCAACACTGACCTCCCAGTGCGTGTTTCCTATCCCAGTTTCCATTATTCCTAAATACCCAAAGTATGTACACCTCTCCGTGCGTCATCTTGAGGTGCAACGCTGTGAGTGGAATGTGACTAACACGCTGAATTGGCAGAGCCCACCATCTAAACCCCTCGACACTATTTCAACGACGCTTGTTTAGACCACGTCCCGACGAGAAAACGACGAGAAACCGACGAAACACTCTGCTTAACTGCTAAACATGCTTTCTAAACGGAATTCTTCACACTCATCCTCATTTGCCGTCATTAAGGACACGGTTATGTCTGTACCGTGGCTTCTCTACGGTGGCGACGCATATTGACAAGGTGTAATGACTCAATTTCTGTATGCCGGTACACGATGCACGCTGATCTAGAACCCAGCACTCTGGTGGCATATCACCTTCAACTAAATACTGGATATGAAACAGAGGTTGCGAAGGTAGGCCGAGTTTTCCTATGGGCTGTTCTCTCCAGCAGGAAACGCCAGAGGGCTTGACCCATTTGCAATGGCAAACACATAAAGTGAGTTCCTTAATGTGTCGTGGTGAAGTCTCCACTCGACAACGTTATGATTGTCACAGTCAAGGAACGAAGACGCTTTGTACTGGTTGAGATAACCAGGTTCCACTAATATATAGAGATCTATCACCTCGCCGATTCACTGAGGACGGCTAAATTCAAAGTCCCAAAGAACCTTTTTGGGTTCGACGTCCAAGCAGCTGATTCTGGTACCAGTCCATGCCATCTACACAAAGGTGGTCCAATAAGATTCCTAGACATTGGGAAACCCAGCGTGGTGCCTGGTCTCGCCGTTGCTAGGAGTATATTCCCTTTTGACAACCCAAGTCCCAGCTGTCGTATCTCGCTGATTTCAGCACGCAATTTATTTGGCCCATCAAGGACTTTCCATACGCACAAACGTTCTCATACCGGCTCTGGCTTGCCTAGCTATTCTATTCCATTGCTTCGATTCCCCTGACCTGTCACAAGGCCACCAGAATCAACCGCATCTTCACTTCGCCTCGTCTGGTACGCGGGACATTTGCGTTATATTGCGTTATATTGCGTTATATTGCGGTTCATCCTCCTTCAAGGCATGGCTAGCAGTACCCACGTGTCTTACAATGGGGACGTGATTCATAGATAAATCAGAGACCGGCCAATGTAAGAGACCGATAAGATCTGATACCAGTAGAATGGAGAGTTTACAAGAGGAGAAAGTTAAATGACGATGAAGAATTCCAAAATATATTTTGAAGTGCTTGCTGGAAAATTATTGTGACATGTCTGAGATTAGGCAGACAAAGCGCGGTGAGGTTGGCCCCTCCTGTCCTAGAACGGCCCCCAAGCCCCCAGATTCTCCATCGCAACAGAAAAGCTAGTCATGTCATCCAACGATGCAGAAGAAAGCTCGATAACTGGTGCGACACGACGGCAGCGCTCTGGTCCCGCGTGTGATGAGTGCCGGCGGCGTAAGCTGCGCTGCGATGGACAACAACCTCAATGCGGGATTTGTCGAGAAACGGGGATTTCATGTGAAGTGACACATCGCGGAGCCCGAGGTCCCAAAAAGGGCCACTTGAAAGCCTTAAAGAACCGAGTCGTGCACCTAGAGGCGATGTTAGAAAGTCGCCTCCCAGACCGACAGCTTCAACGGGATATCCAGGGGTCTCAACACAGCAGCGAATCAACAATCCCTGCTTCGCCCGGTGTTTTGGCAGATTCTGGACCTCGCATCGCCGAATGGCCACAGGAGCCTACAAATCCCTCTCAACCAGGGCGCGCAGCGTTGTTCGATTGCCTCACCTCGGACTTAGTTTCTTCCTCGCTTGAATGGTCCTTCCCACCTGCTTTGACAGTTTCAAACACTCAGTTTCCGCCCACGGACTTCCTGCATGATGAATTGTAAACACAACTTGGGAGTTCTTTGCCGCTTTTATTGCGGCAAAAAGCTGGATATATGGCTAACATGTCGTCTCCAGAGACCAACTCTACTTGGATCGCGTACACCAATCAATACCGATCATTTACCAGCGACGGTACCTATCATGGTCTAAATCCAGCTCAAAAACACCATCGCAGAAATGTTTGCAAAGCGCCATGTGGACTTTGGCCTCGCTGCTGTCTGCTCAGTTCCGCGAGATGATAGAGCCACTCTACCAGAAGACAAAACAGACACTCGAGTCCATTAGCATCGAAGGCAACGACTACAACGTCAACACAGAACTTGCGCAGGCATGGGTTGTTATCGTGATATTTGAATCTATGCGAACTCACCATCGGCAGGCTTGGATGAGTGCCGGTCGGGCATTCCGCTTGGTGCAGGCTATGCGCTATCATGAGATTGACAGACCCACTGGCAAGGGAGGCCCGTCCTCTCCCCAAAATGGTGATTTTATCCAAGTCGAAGAGAGACGCCGGGTGTTTTGGATGGCTTATTTCCTTGATCATGTCATTAGCATGCGCGATGACTGGCCTATCACCTTAAATGAACATGTGGTAAGGATGCCAATACCTCAATTCAAGTGATTGGGAGCTAGTGAGGGTATTTACTGACGCATGGCCATTGCCTGTGGTTCCAGATCTGCACCCGACTGCCAGCCCTAGATTCAGACTTCCAAAACGGCAGCCATGGACTTGGGCCCTTTTTGTCCGAAGCCATGACCCAGACTACTCTGAAAGTAGGTTCGTCCTTCAACGAGTGCCTCATCTTAGCTACGATATGTGGTCGCACTCTACTTCAGATCCAACAATATCAAATCTCCAAGGCATACGGAGACACGCTACTGGACTCGACTGAGCAGCGGCGCTGGCTGGATAGTCTTCTTACAACGAGACTCCAAGCTCTGTCACGATATTATCCATCGCCTATCAAGGCCTACGATCCTCTTCTTCTTTTTGCCAATATCTTAGGTCAAGTTACAGTCATTTATTTCTGCAAAGCCATGATGGAGTCAATGCCAGCATCTGCCAACCCACTGCATGGGGATACTGAAATCTCTGATTATCAAAATCGAGCATTAGAGGCTTCCACGACCATCATCCATCTGGCGACAACCCTGTGTGAACTACCTGTTGCCAAGGTAGGTAACATAGGCTAGTGTGTTTAGGTTATACTACTAACGTTATTCACTCTAGATCCATCCCTTGATGCCCATCCCTCTCTTTTCCTGTGCCGAGTTCCTCTACGACAATATGCATACTAGTGAATCATTTCAACTCCGAATCCAGGAGTTGTTTTACATATTCCGTCGGCTGAAGAATGTCAATAATCATGAGGAAAGTTACCTCGACTTGTTACCGAAGTCGTGCATTTCAAAAACCACTGAGATGTTCAATAATAGTGTGCAGGGGAGTACTCCGGACTAGTTCATAGGATCGTAATTTATAAATATTTTCAATATGGCGATATGGAAGTATAACCTCAAATTTGTTACGACGATACTGTTCGTGTGCTCGTGTCCACCCTCGAGGACCCTATTTTCATACATGTAGAAAACCAGCAGTCATGGGTGCTCTTGCGTGTTTCCCAATAATAGCTTCATTAGCCTGTAGCGTACGATAGGTTCATTCCTTCCAAAATCCTTCAAATCCCGAAGGTACATGTCTATCCGACGCTGTTATTATGCCCGAATTCCGTTGAGGTTCGGAGAAATAGATTCGGGGAAAAGTTTCGAGGCTCAGCCAATCCGGTTGCTGCATCAATAATCTATTCGCCGAGCTCCTTGCCGATCGTCAATAACCTCTATTTAGGTGAGTTACGGTGTTTGATATTGGATTATTCATCTATATTTGTCCCTTGTTTAGGGGCAAATGTAACGAAGCCTTACAAACAACTTTGTCCCGAGAAGCTCCACCCATCGCGCTGATCCAGATGCCAGCTCCAATGGCCTACCAGGTATGCGCAGCATCACTGGTTTATCAACACTGTTCTATTGAACCGGATCGGACATTCGGCCTCTCCAATTCCGATGTTTGAGTCATGATATATTGTGCTCTAATGGTTGTTGGGGCCGTTCTTATAAGAGGCGACATCTCTCCGTTTTGATGCTCTAGCAAACCTCCTTGATCATTTCCAAGAAACTCTCTGAACATCTCAGTGGAATCAAAGTGTCAAATTCATTTCGTGAACTGCACGATGAGTCTCATCGGTCGAGCAAACGATGTTTTTCAAGTCAATCCGTTAACGGGGGTTGATGAAGCACTCTCGATACATGGATCTGACTGGCTATGGGCTGTGACAGCCATCTATATTGTCTCCTTTGTAAGTTCATTTCTTACTATAGCCCTCGACCTTCAGTTATTCCCCTCTCACCTCTATCCCCACTAACACGTACGATATCCAGATCGGCCTCCTAGTACTCTCCTTCGCAGCAAAAGAAAGCGAAAGAGTCTTCCACTACCTATTTACTTGCGCCTTAATGGTCGGCGCCATGACCTACTACGCACAAGCATCCAATCTAGGCTGGAGCGCTGTCGAGCAAGTCGACAACGTCGGCAACGGCGTGATCCGGCAAATATTCTACGCCAAATACATCAACTGGGTAGTCGCCTTTCCTTCGCTTGCTCTGGCAATGGGACTAATCTCGGGCGTGTCTTGGACCACCATCATCTGCAACATTGCTATATCCTGGATCTGGGTTATCAGTTACCTCGTGGCGGCATTTACACCTTCAAGCTACAAGTGGGGGTTCTTCGCCTTTGGTACATTCTCATGGCTTATCCTTGCTATGAGTACTATCAATGAGAGTCGCGAGGCTGCTGCTTTGTTGGGGATTCAACGTGACTATATGGTACTTTCGGGGTGGTTGAATCTCTTGTGGTTGCTTTATCCTATTGCATTTGGGTTGACTGATGGTGGGAACCGGATCGGTGTGACTGGTGGTTCTATTTTCTTTGGTGCTCTCGATATACTCACTATTCCAGTGTTGAGTTTTGCTGTTTTGTTCTTTGCTCGAAACTGGGATTATCGCAAATTGAACATTGCGTTCAGTGATGCCCGTCCAAGCCGAGAGAGTGAAGGTGAAATCAAGGAAGCTCCCCGGGCATCCTCCGATATTGCCTCTACTGCCTGACTATTGTTCGGGATTTTGTTTTGGGGATTCTGGTAAGCTTCTTCCTATGTGGAAGGAGCCTACGAATGCTATCAGTAGGGTCCTTTGCTACCTTGGCGTCAATCCCCGCATAACTAAGGAAAGAGAATGCGAGGAATTGATTCTGATTGATTGAACTTTGATGTTTGATTTACAAAGAGAATGGTATAATGGTGTAGCCCGAGGGCTACGAGTGGTTATAAAGACCATGTTGTTTCTAATACTTTTTAGTCTTTTTCGCGGTCTTGCGAATTTCTCATAGATCAAATTGAACAATGCACTTAACTACGTCCAATGCTTATTCCTCGTTCCTCTACGGATCTATTGCTCTCAATGTGGCCCCAGGATACAGCCATCCCATATAAGGTCAGTTCCGAAAGATCATGCCAACATCCAAAACTAAAGAAACCACAGACCTCGACGTCGATCTTCCGTTCTCTCAACCCGTCACATTTGCCCATCTCAAATGGCAAAGATGCCTTGCAGCCTCACATAAAAAGGTACACTTAACCAGTCATGCAGATGGAATAAATCCTAATTGAGCTAAAGCCTCTTGATATCGCCCTACTAGGTTTGCTCTATGATACCTCCGCCTCATATCGCCCCAGACCCGGATTCGGCTCACAAGCTATCCGAGCAAGATCCGCCCGAGAGAAGAAAGGCCGCAGCTACAATACTGTCTATGGGGTGGATCCATATGAGGAGGGATTGGAGAACGTAAGCATTATACCTCAATCTCAAATATGTAATGACGGCTTCGCTAATCGCTATCCAGATTGACTGTGGAGGCACCTCCATCAACCCGTTTGTGCCGCACATGCCTTCAAGCAGATGGAGCAGGGATACAGACAGGTGCTGCATCACCCAACTTCCGATGGGAACTCCTGAAGACACCCTCGCATTGTGAGTCTATCCTGTCCACAGAGATGTAAAACGAGGACAACGAAAATAAATTATCTATAATGATCCCTTTAACACCATGTTGTCTCATGGGTATCTAATTTGCCTTCATAATCTGTATATCCTACCCGAAATGAGAGGCGACTACGATATCATGTTGGTTATAACGGTGCGTTTAACGATCTCCTTGTTGACATGTCAACGTCGTTTTTCATGCCCTGTAGGTTCCACACGTTTTCAAGTGAGCAGCTGGTGCGACCTCATACGCTCTTGATGCCCTTTAACGAGTTATCTACCTGTTCCTCTTCTATTTTGAATGTCCCACCCGCTACTAGATGAGCGGCAACTAGGAACTCATGTTGTCTGTAACCTATGTGCGGAAGAGCGCCTTGTCTTGTAATTTGTATCCGCACCCGCTTGTAAATAGGTGGCGAGTAAGATATTGTGTTTCCTATAATGACATGTTTAAGGATCTCTTTATCGAATACTAAGTGAACTCTCCAGCCGTTTAGTCTAGCCATCCAGTCGGCTCTCTTCATATTTTTTAGCCGTACCCGGTTATAATTGAAGTGTCAAGGCATCCGATTCGTCTTGTTCACAAGTTGTATTTGAACTATCTATTTGTCCATTTTCATTCCCCACAATTACTATGTCGCACCCACACTTTGTAAGTGAATTATCTGGTCCACATAAATCTTGTTAATGATCTCTTTACTGAAGTTCGGCATGCTACAAGTAAAAGCCCCTTTATCTTGCCTCTGTGCTTACATTCTGCTAACAGATATCTCAACAGTTACATTGGTGTCAACACGCCCCCACTGCCCCCGGCCGCATTTGATCTCTAGCGTACGGCAACCCCTGTCCAGCTCTCTCAAGCAGAGCTGAACCCTAATGAACCACATAAACATTATCCAAAATCTAGCACCACGAATTCAGCGTGCCAAGAATCTCGCCTACCTCGGGTCATCCATACACACCGGGGGAGCTAAACTCAATCGCGAACCAGGGCCGAAACAGCGAGACAAAAGTACCCGGCGATGCTCTCTGGCTAGCCGACTTCTCTCTTTGGGCAGCTGAGCATGCATGAACCCGCCTTTCATCACATTGCATTCTAGAAGCTGCTAACATCAATCAGGGTATGAGGCGCCTGCACTTTCACCAAGGTCTAAACTACTGATACGCCTCATGGGAGCCGATTGAAAACAAAGGAGTTGGGGGCCCCAACTACCAGACCACCATACTATGGACAGATCATGGTCGCAAATGCCATTGGTAAATCGGACAATTCTCGCATTGTGAACACTCCCCTAGGAGAAAATACCGATTCGGTGTATGCTATCTGTGATGGAAGGCGATTGACTAAACTGGTCGTGGTGAATTTGCGGGCTTTTGCCCAGACTACCACGGGAACTCGTCCACATAGGGCTTACAACTTCCATGTGCCTGCACGTCATCGCAGCGCTAATGTGGAGCGTTTGATTGGTCCGGGTAGTGACGCGCTTGTTAACATTACTTTCAGGGGGATTTTCTATGACTATGCATTGCGTCGGGGGATGCCCGTGCCTGTGCATGCATTGGAGGAGGTGGCTAGGGTTCGGGATGGCGTGTTGACTGTTGAGGTTCCTGTTTCTTCTGCGGTTCTTCTTTCTTTGGATTAGATTTGGTTGGATATACTTGAGGCTCATTTATCAAAGATAAGCACCTTCAATGAGTATACGGTATCTCTAAGCTAATATTTCTTGAGCTTGTATCGATTTAGCACTCTTATACGACATGGATCGTTATAAAGGCATTATGTTCTGTCCTAAAAATGGGAAATTTAGGGCTGAAAGACAGAAACTCATAAACCTCCGAGATGTATAGGTTCGGGAACACACAGCTTACCGCGGGAAGGGTTAAATAACTTGGACTACAAGAAAGGCCCAGACCTAATGGAAGTGCGTCAAATATAAGAACCCTGACGGTTCATATGTAGGCCACTCCTAAGTCACCAATCAGCACCGCCACTAATTTCCACAAACAGACTATAGACGCAGCTAACGTCCGCACTGCCCATTTGGCCCCCAACGAACACGATTCAGCCGCAGGAGAGCTAACAGACGACCGCACCCTATGATTCCTCCAACCCGCGCTGTTTATGGCTTTCCGTTAAGATCCAGGGTCCTGGCTCTCGACTCCGCTCTCCCATCTGTGTCCTTGCCACCTCACAATGGCCGAGTCGCGCGAGTCGCAGCATTCGCTGCTTTCGGAGGACTCGCTGGACAATCCACCGCAGCGGTCCTGGGGTCCGCTCGGTCGCTTATCCTTCGAGCAGGACTATGTTTACCATGCGCACGAGCGCCGGTCCGAGGATGTGGTCCACGATGTCGGATTGGGTATTTCCAATCATTCCGGTGATACTATACCTCATTATGGGCGCGCTTCAATGGATAGTACAGCGACGACCACGCCTCGCTCTATTCCTAAGGCTCCGCTGTCTCCCCATTCTCCCACGAGATGCCCTAACCGCACGACGGTGCTACAGAAACGGCTTTCGTGGATCCCATTGACGATCTTTGTGCTGGCTCTGTATGCTACTATCTTTTCAGGAATTTACCTCGCTATTGCACTTCGAAAGCCTCGATGGAATGGTATTTCCAGTGACGGCCCCATGGTGCCGTCTACGGCTAATTTGTTGAGCGCGTTCTTTGCAAAGACAATTGAGTTGGCCTATGTCACGGTTTGTGTGGCGTTTTTGGGACAGGTGCTTAGCCGGCGGGCTTTGATGACCGATTCTCGAGGAATTAGTATCTCTGATATGAATATGAGGGCATGGATCATGCAACCAGGCTCAATGATTGTTCATTGGGAGACGCTGCGGTATTCTGCGCTTACTTTCCTCGGTGCTATTGCGCTTGTCGCAACATTTGTGGCGATGCTATACACTACCGCCGCGCAAGCGTTAGGTATACTTCTTCCCTTACAGCAATAAACCACGGAACACTAACTTATAAAAGTCGCACCCAAACTCTCTTTCGGTCCCGTCGAACCAAAGGTCCTTCAAGGCAAAGTATCCGCCAGCTTTGGTAACCCGAATTACCTCGGCTCCAATTGTGAAACTCCAGTCACAAATGCAATGGACCCAGACAACCGCAATACATGTCTCCAAATTAAACATGTCGGCCAAGCCTATCACAACTACCAACAATGGATAACAAAATGGAGCTCCCTAGTTGCGAACAACAGCGCAACCTCAACAAACCTCCACAACCGTCCACATCCTACTGGCTCCCTCTGGGACAATACAACAGTAACAGGCAGCTGGATCCAAATCCAAAACATAACAATCCTCTCCAAGAAACACAAAAGAATGGTCAACAACATAACAATGGCAATGCCCCACGGCGGCATCACAGCAGCAGCAATGAACCCCCAAAACAAAATAAAACAACCCCAATCAGCCTCAGCATCCGGCGAAGGAAGATACACCCTAGACGCCTCCGTCCCATCCCCAGCAATAAACGTCCTCTGCACAGGAATGACCGAAAAAGAACTCGAACCCCTCGTCTACGCCTCCTGGCCCGGCGGCGACAAATTCAACCCAACATCCTGGAGCGTCTCACCTCCAGACGACATCCCCCGCTACCCATCCTGGCTCAACAGAACAGTCGTCGACACGCTCTTCGAATTCGGCCCGGAATACGGCCAACGCCCACCAATCTTCGGCAAATACCCTAAACCCTTCAACACAATCCTCAACACGACAGGTCTCTGGCCCGCAAATTCCATCTACCTCCTCGGTGCATCACCACCGAACACGACAAACCCGCCGTACGTGCTATGCGCCCTCCGCGCTAAACAAACAGGCGTCTGTTCGACGCGGTATAACGCGGCATCCAGCGGGGCATTCCTCAGCTCGATATGCGAGCAAGGCAATAATAAATTGCAATATGACCGCCGACATGCAAGCCGCGGGTTCAAAGAGGGTGTCTGGGAAGCCGATTATAAAAATGTTGTGTCTGAGTGGGCGAAGGCGTTGAGTCTCGGTGCGGGTGTTTCCGATGGCGAGGCTAGTAATGCCCGACTGCTTATGCAGATGATGCCAAAGTACGATGCTGAGGAAGACAGCTTCTCGCTTGATCCGCGTATGCCTTCTATCGGGGAGGGGTTGGCTGTTATGGCTGGGAGTACGTTGATTCTCAGTTCGCAGGATGCGCCGTTTGTACAGGGGTGGAATTATAGTCGTGATAATGGGAATGTGTTGGATGAGGGTGTTTATCAGTTTTTTGATGGGGAGGTTCAGGCTGTTGGGTATGCTTCTGGCTGGACGGAGCGGTGGCAGGGTGTTTTCTATGTTATTTTGGTGTTTGCGTTTTTGACGAGTGCTGTTTGTTTGGGGTTTGTGATATTTGAGGCCCGGGGGCGGCAGATTACTGATTTTACGGAGCCGCAGAATCTGTTTGCTTTGGCTGTTAATAGTCCGCAGACGGAGCAGTTGAAGGGTGCCTGTGGGTGTGGCCCATGGGGGAAGCAGCTTAAGGAGAGGTGGTTTATTGGGATGGAGGAGGAGGATGAGCATTATTATATTCGGAGTAAGATGGAGGGGAATACGCCGTATCTTGGCGCTGAGGAGAGGCTTGAACAGATGGAGGTTGAGGATGGGGGCAAGGTGTTGAGTCCTGCTGTGGATGAGTTCCGGAGGGTGTCGAAGAGAAATTCGTTTTTGGCGAGGTTTTATTGACGGGGATTGGTACGATGATATGACTACGGGACTATAGAAGTAATAGTTAATATGCTGCAATTGAACATATATGAATACACTGCATGGCTGGAGCATGCGATTGATTTCAACAGGGACCCAATAGAGCCAGATATGTACAGAACAATGCAACGCCCATTTCAGAGCTAAACAGGTGAACCAACACGGAGACGCAGAACAGGAACTGTGGTATAACGCTAATGAATCGCTCATACACACAGACACAAGACGAGGATGCTAGATGCGACGAAAATGCAGCACTTCAAATGCAACGGAAAAGAAACTTTTGCAAAGACACCGATAGCCATGGAGACGCCATCAAAGGAATGGAAAGAGAGGTAGGAGATATGCACAGAGGAACCTGGCGAGGTGAGGTATTGAGGTAGAGAAGAGGGAATGTGAGAGTCGGAGAGAATGTCTCTGAATAACTGTAGGATGAATTGGGAGAAGTATCAACGATCAGCTTGAAGATTGAGCCAGCTCATATCTGAATTGACGTTGTTACTCCGCCCTTGCATCGGCAGCTCGTCCATATCCTCTGGGATGATCGCGCTGGATCTCCGTACGTTTGAATTCCTTGTCTTATCGACAAGGCCTGTATATGATGAGGTACCGGGCAAATCGCGCGTGCTCGAGTTGTAGAAGCTGTTGCTGTAGTTGCTGCTGCTGGGTCGTCCCAGCCAGCTAGAGTGGCCGGCACCTTGCCAATTTTCGTCCCGGTCACTTTCCGAGGCAATACTGATTGAGTCTGCAGAGGAGATTCGTGCCGATTGGCTCTCGGGGATGACAAGGCTTCGGCCGCCTATTTCGGAGGTGTTTTCTGTGGTTGGGCTGGCGCTCATGACACGGCCCAAGGGCTTGGGTTGGTCGAGGAATCCCAGGTTCAATGGTGTCAGGTTTGACATTGGCCAGGCGCTACCGCGGTAGTCTGACTTGGTGTAGACGGAACTCATGGTCGAGCGATCAGACGCCATTCCAGCCAGGTTGGTGGTGGTTGTGTTATCTTCAAAGTACTTGCCCCATCCTTCGTCCGTGCTCCGATCCCCAGGCTGGTTGCCACGGCTGGGGTCTGTACCTCCTTCCGTTTCATCAGTGTAGACACTCGACGCGCCCATGGCACCGCTGGAGGGAATTGTGGAGAGCGGGCTGCTCTTGCGGGGATGAGACAGTCCGTAACCCGTCGCATTGGGTGGCTTGAGAGATTTCTCTCCATTGTACTTTCCGGTCATAATAGCCAGTGAGTCTGCCGAAGCAGCGGCGACCGGAACGGGAGACCTTGCCATGGGATAGGCGCCTTCGGTCAGGGGTTCTATGCCCTGATCCTGGAAGCTGAGTCGGTCTTTGCTGTCGCCACCAGCTTTGCCGGACTGCTGCTGTTTCTTTTGCTTTTCGCGTCGAATCAGGAAAAGAAGGATAAGCAAGATCAAGCCGAATCCGAGGACGCTTCCAAGAGTTGCACCAAGTATAGTTTTAGCGTGATCACTCAAACCGCCACCGGCAGCTGCGGCAGAAGTGGATGAGGGAGTGGCCGTCGCGGAGGTCGATGTCGAAGTGGTTGAAGTAGCTGTGGGGGTAGACGACGTGATTGACGACGTAGTGGATGGCTTGAGAACATTCTGATCTCCGGTTCCATAGAACAATTCCGTCGCATTCACCCAACCATTCGAGGTCTGGTTGAAGATCGCTAATGAATCATGACCCCCACCATTGGAGAGGACAACCATATCATCGCCCTGGGCGAGAGCAAAATTTGACCAGCTGTTGGAGGGAGCTAATGTGCTGTTATACGAAGAATCCGTCAGACTCCTCTTTCCAATTGTAGTGGCTGGGCTCTGCAGCTTTCCCTTGGAGCTGAGTAGGTAGCTAGAAACACTGTTGGGCGAAGAGTTCATGGTAAACTCCTCGAGAACGATGTTTTTCTCAGAGTCGGAAGCAAGGGTACATCGAGAGTTAGTTGGAATTGCATAGGGAAGAGTCGCCTCCGAGAGAGTCCAGCCTTTGCTGTCTTCAGCGTCATAGATGTGAACAGCCGTGTTGGTGGCAGAGCCTCCAATCATGGCGATTTGAGAATCACTCCAGGGCAAAAGAATGGGCTCATACAAAGCCGGAGCACCCTGGTCAAGACCAGAGGTCACGACGTATGGGGAAGTTGTTGAAATAAGCAAGGTGGATTGAGAGCTGACAGTGCTTCCATCTGTCATACCTGCGTAGACGAGGATCTGGGATGACGAGGAAATGTACCCGGCACCGTGGCCAGTTCGATTAGCCATCTCCTGCGAGGACATTGTCAAGTTTTGCCATTTCTGGTCCTTGAACGAAAACTGTTGCAGGCCATCGTAACCAGCAGGGCCGGTCCCGCCGACCACATAGAATGCCTCATCGCCCTTGGATCCACCCTGTACACAAGCGGCGCCAGTAACCGATGTTCCTTTTGGCAGTTCGGTCCAGTTTCCGTTCTCTCGGAGCGGTATTGATAGGAAGTTGCCGCGTGAGAAGACATAGAGGGTGTTGCTGTGGATGGTGGAGCAATCGCCCTCGAGGGTGACTTGGGGTTTGGGGACAGTCATTCTGAATCACCACAAGCTGTAGATACCAGACCAGAAACGAGAGCGGGTGGCCAGCCAAAGATCCAAAGACTGTAGAATGAAAGTGCGGCCAGAGCACTATCTCATCTCGACAGTGGTAGAGTAAATGACGCCAATCTGCGAGCTGCAATGGAGTAAAGTGTCGCGATATCGGTAATCTTAATGGTGTGTTTTTGTTCTCCGGGGTGTGATTGTGGTTCCGAGTTCTCTGTGGATAGCGTATCGGATGTCTCGGCGACTCGTATGATACCACTAGAGCAGTGCTTCTGGGATCAAGCGCTTCAGGGATAGCAATGGGATTTGCAACAGTGACGTGTCGGGACGTGTCGGAGAAAAGTGATCAAAGGTAATTCGAGAGGATCTGACGTCGGGCGAACCAGTCGAGGCGATAAAGCGATAGTGCGGGAAAAAAAGGAGCAAATGAACGAGGTTGGTGAGAAACGAAAGAATGGCTGTGAGACCGGCACTATCAAACGAGTGCACAGCACACGAGGAATCAAGACAGGAAAAGAGAGCCCTGGAGAGATTGAGACAGGGAGAGAGAAGTCAACCCCCTAACGGAGGAGGTTAGCGGGCTGGAAGGACGCCATCCCTTAAGGGGAAAGATTTCGTCACTTCAATTTCCATCAATAATTGGACTAATTTTCGAGGGTCTGTGTCTACTTCTCATATTCGAGTTTATTTCTTGTATTTTTCGTGATTGCTATTTGTGCCATTTGCGCACTGCCAATCACCCCTATAGCCTATCTGAAGCTATCCGACAGGTGTTTCGAAGCCAAGAGTGAGAGAAAGGTGGGACCAGGGACTTGAGCCCCCCTGTCCGATTCTATACATCTGAGACAAACAGCAAGGAACTAACGACAGCCCTGACAAGAGAGAAGGGGCTCGGACACAATAAACAAATTGCGTCCAAGGTTCCCCTTCCCGTGTCCGTGGTTGAGTTTGCTGGTGCCATGGATCCTCTCGGGCACACTTGGCTCGTGCTTTCCTCTCTGGTTCGCTTGTTTAGCGCTACACTACAGACATTGCCCAGATACGCTCTCTATAGTCATGAGGCAGTATTAGAGTTGATCTCTGTAACGAATAATCTCCGACATTCATAGATACATGTACGTAGATGGCATGCAAATCCGGTGCCTGGTTCGTCCAAGTCTTGGCCCTCGTGGGACCGAATATTGCGGTCTCCTCAACGTAACTGGTTTTATACAATGATCTACAGGGACTAGCTGTATGTGATGGAAGAATCACAGCTAGCCATGCTGATTGGCCATGACGTCAATTAAGCTAACGCAGTTTTTGGCAAAATGTAGTATATCACACCTGGGAATATATATCTCGGCACCCACTGAAGAAACAGATCGACCTGAACATAAACATGAACGAATGGCAACTTCGTGGCTGCAGACCATCTCGTACAGAAGAAAGAAACATAGAGCTGCATCTATTGAGCCAAGTTCTTAATCCAACCGATGCAGGTACCACCTTCCTCGTGCAACGCTTCAGCAATACAGTCAGCCCGCTGAACAATGATCGCCAGTGGGAGGTGCAGGTTCCGTCGCACGACAGGTTTGGATGGGAGATTAGGATGAGTGGCAATCTGTAGATATGAGATATGGGGAGATCCATGGGGCTGGTCTATTTCCAGAGCACTACATATTACACCGAGCTGAGCGGAATTGAACAACCGGCGTATAGATATGCGGGCTGGTGGGAGTGAAATATGGGACACGAACCTGTTTTGATGACATGCAGATTGTAATGGTATTGGTCTGATTACTATATAACACATGGAAGAAAAGTCCGTCTTCGTGACCGTGGACTTGCAGGAGAGGTTGCATGGACACGATTGGGGATCCCAAAAGCGAAAGAAATCCATCACACGCTTTACGACTGTGCTTGCTTCCATTGGTGTGCCTTTTGGAGCAGGCGGGAAAGGTTGGCAGCGGATTGGTCGTCTGCGGGGAATACGTAGTCCATGTACTCCTCGTATCGGTCGTCCTCCAACTTGCGGCGCTTCTTGACACGTCTGGGCATCTGTTTTTCGATCTTCTCGATATCCTCGGGCGATCCGTGTGTGTTTTCGAATGAACGCCAGGCATTGAGAAGTTCCACGCGCTAGGAATAAGTTAGCATCGATCATGATGAGTCAGTGATGGAAATGACGTACCTCTTCCTTGAGCTCCTTGTCCTTGAATACCTTGTGTGCCCGGGTGAAGACTGCACGAGCCCGCGTCTTCGCTTCTTCGCTGATCGGCTTTTCCTCCTCCTCCTCTTCTTCCTCTTCGTCCTCCGGCACGTTGACCTCGAACCGGGCGTAGTTGATCCAGACCTTGACGTGATCGGTCTTCTGGAGCAGACGCTCGTACAAGTGGCGGACTCGGTCATACTCGCCTTCGTATTCTTCAAAGTCGATATAGGCCTTCCACACAAGCTCGGGCATATCGAGGGTTGGCTGATCAATGCCTAGCTCGTAGATAGCCCTTGCTCGCTCCAAATCATCCAGACCCCGTTCCAATTCCGCGAACTGCATCCAGGACTGACTGTTGGAAGGGTTCCATTCGATTTGCCTCTCGTACAAGGTCCGGCACCGCACGAACTCGAACAATTGGCGTTCAAGGTCGATGTAGCCACGGAACAGCTTGTCCTTCGGACACATACCAATGGCTTGGCCTAGTGTTTTCCTTGCAGCTTGTAATTCCATCTGTCGGATCTCAAACTGCGCCTTCATGAGCCAAATCTTGGCAAATGTGAACTTTTTGTGTGGAATCAACCGGAGACATTCCTGATAAATCTGCCGGGCGCGGTCCACTTCTTTCGCCTCCAATTCTTCCCAAACAGCGTAGAAGATCCAGAGGTAGATATAACGGCGCCAGTGCCTCTTCTCTTGTGAGGGAGGAATCTGTGCAATGGCCCGTTCATAGATGTCCCGCACCCGCTCCGGGTCACCCGAGGTCTCCTCCAGGCGTGCAAAGTCGAACCAGATATCATAGTTGCGAGGGTTCTCCTTAAGCTGCTCCTCATACTGCACCCTGCGCTTTGAAAGAATCACATCTTCCACGCCCTCGCGATCACCATATTGCTTCTCGAAGGTTGTGTAGGCCTTGTGAAGGGCCATAGACTTGGACCGGGGGAGTCGGTCTAAGGCGTACTTGTAGATAGCGCGTGCACGCTCATACTCCTTTAGCTTGGCCTCGAATTTGGCATATGCGCTAAAGAGCTTCTCGTCCATGAAATCCTCGCCGAGCGTCTCAATTGCCAAGCCATAGACCTCACGAACCAAATCACTGGTTCCATACTCTTCCTCAAAACGAGCCCATTTAATCCAGTTTCGCGGTTCGGGGTGAACAACAGTGAAGCGCTGGAAGACGCCGCGCGCTCGTTCGAATTCACCGTACCGCTTTTCTAGCTTAATGTATGCGCTCCAGGCGCCCTCATCCGGCTCCCACGACATCCACCGCTCAAAGACCTGGCGGGTACCAGGAATGTTGCCCAGGGTCTCCTCCATGTAGACATACTTGTACCACAGCTTGTCGATACGGGGCAGGATGGTCACGGCACGGTCGAGAAGATTTCGGGCGTGGTTGATGTTTCGGGTCTTCATCTCGGCTTCGATGTAACGGATCCATAGTACCACTGAGGTCGAGTCGACGTCCAGCGCGCGCTCGAAGATTGAGCGTGCCCGACGGAATTCCTTCTGTTCGAGTTCCCAGGCGGCATAGCGCATCCAGTTGTTCATGTTAATGCGGTTACGCCGCACATAGTCCTCAAAGTCCTTTCTCTTCCGACCCTGGTACTCGTGTAGTTCTTCAAGGTCGGCAAAGCGCTGTGTCGGTGCTTCCAGGCCAGGCTCCTGCCGGTCCACGGCCTCGCGAAGCAACTGCTCCGCAGAGATCTGGATCGGCGCGGCGGCCTTGTTCTTGACGCGGGGAGGGCCACGGGATGCCTCCATTGTGATGGTTTTATATCAACCGGTACTGATATCAAAGTATTGGTCTGCGGTCGAGGTGTGAAGTGAAGGTCCCGGACAATAAATTTGTGACAAAGTGCAAGATGTGAGAGAAAATTGAAAGACGAAAGAAGCTTCGCCAGAACTGTGCGACCAGTTATCCCGAAGCTGATTCGCAAAGTGTCTCACGCCCAAGTCACTGACGAGAGTGGCTTGGTCTGCAACTCTGAGAATCCGCGATGAAATAGCAGAACTGCAGAGTTGGTCGTTGTCGCCACCCGCGCAGCTCTCCCTGACTAAGCACTTTTCCATCCTTCCATTCTGGAACATTGCTCTCCTCAGCTTTCTCAAGGTCCTGGGGCCATCTACACACGCTTTGCTTTGCGCGAATCCAGATAGTTAGTACTATCTGACCTGCCACTATGTCAACTGCCGAAGAGCTGTTGCGCGACTTTGAGTCAGATGAGGAGTTCGATGCGGGTGAGGAAAATGACGACCTAGAGCCCGAGCAGGAAGAACAGACCCAAGAAGCCCCAGGGGCCACCAACGACTTTGACCGCTCCATTTCCACCGCCGATGAACTGAACCGCCTACACAAAGTTCTGCGCGATCACTACTCTATCCGATTTCCCGAGCTCGAAACGCTCGTCACAACTCCCATCAAGTACGCCAAAACGGTTGCTATTCTCCAGAATGGCCCTCTTAATGACATTAAGGCGCTGTCCAATACATCGGACAATATGGTTGGCGCGTCACTCAAGTCGGTCCTGGATGGACCGTCCTTGATGGTGGTTGCGGTGGAGGGAACGACCACCCGCGGCCGAGAGATGACAGAGTCCGAGCTCAAGCAGGTTCTTGATACATGCGAGAGAATTTTGAAGCTTGATAGCGAGCGCAAGGCGCTTACTGAAAGTATTCAGTCTCGCATGAACCAGATTGCGCCTAACCTGGCTGCACTTATTGGACCTGAAACTGCTGCCCAGTTCCTCAACCAAAGCGGAGGCCTACTGGAACTAGCGAAGATTCCTGCATGCAACTTGGGCGCACAAGGATCGCGGAGACAGGAGGGACTAGGCTTTGCGACCAACATCGGTGTCAGATCCCAAGGATTCCTCTACGACTCTGAGCTTCTCCAGGAGGTTCCCAACGACCTTAAGAAACAAGCGATCCGGATCGTGTCAGCCAAGATGGTTCTCGCTACCCGTGCCGACGTCTCCAACTACGCCAAGGATGGATCTCTCGGCGAAGACTTGAAACAACAATGCTACACACGGTTGGAGAAGCTGACCGAGGCTGCACCAAACTCCGGTACAAAGGCTCTCCCCGCGCCCGATGACAAGCCTTCCAGAAAGCGTGGTGGTTGGCGTGCCCGCAAGGCCAAGGAGGCCGTCGCCATGACCGAGCTCCGCAAGGCGCAGAACCGCGTTGCATTTGGCAAGGAGGAATCGGAGGTGGGATACGGCACAGGTTCCGGGACCGTTGGTCTTGGCATGCTCGGCCAACAGAACGATGGCCGTATCCGCGCGACACAGATCGACCAACGCACTCGCGCCCGACTCAGCAAGAACAACAAGGGCTGGGGCACGTCCACCCCCGCCAGCGGAACCGCTTCATCTCTACGCGGCTTCGGCCAAGGCGCAAGCGGCACAGCCAGTGTTCTGCAAGCCCGTGGTATCCGCGCATCGGGTGTCGGATCGTCTACAGCGGGTACATCCAGTACCATTGCATTCACACCCGTCCAGGGCCTGGAGCTGGTGGATCCCAAGGTGCAGGCAGAGCTGAAGCGCAAGCGCGAGGCCGAGGAAAACCGCTGGTTCAAGTCTGGAACTTTCACCCAGGCCCCGAACCAGGGCAATGGCAATGCGCAGGGTGGAGAAAACGGTGGCTTCAAGGTGCCGGCGCTTCCACCCAAGAAGAAGGTCGACACGGGCGAGGGCAAGATGGGTCCGCCTCCCAAGCGGTAGAGTGCATTACTACCGTATCCTTGCATTTGACGGCGTTCAGGATGGAAGATCAGGAGGCCTGAGCTTCTATGATTTACGTGATACCAACCCCTTTGTACATTAGACAGCCCAAATCTAAAATCACAAATTCGAATTTATATTCTGAACTCGATCTATTCTCGCCTGAGAATAAATAATTCTTGATAGGACACAGTGTCGGACTAAGAATTGCACCCTATCCACGACCCCGACAACGGTTTTAGGGCTCAGCGATAACACGTGCACGTTTTGAAATATTCGATGTGTGGGGATTCTGTCTCAAGTTCTCGAATTCCGAGTAACTGAATCCCGAAATCGCCTTAAAGTGGACCAGATGGCGTGCTTAAGCAGCAGCTGCAACTGTATGATCTCGCAATATCCGTGGAATGTGGTACAAGACAATGGCGAAAGGTATATATTTCGGGTCATTGGAAGAGACCCTTTATTGTATATCGCATCATTTTAACGGCTGAATTTGTACAAATTACTTGCAATTGAGTAATCTGCTCCAAAAGAAAAATACATAAATAACCCCTCGTTTACTATCCCCGACGAGTCGCAATCAGCGAACCAAAAGCATGACATTAAACATCGCCCCAACCACCAGCAACACTACCATCACAATCGTCGAACCCAAAACCGAAGAACCAAAACCCCCAAACCCTCAACCCTAACCCGAATCCTCCATCACAGCCATGTAACCACCGACTTCGACGCCCACCGCTTCAAAGCAGCCGCAGCACAGCAACTACAACCTCAGCAACGATCCCAAGAAACAGATACCCGCCTCATTGCATCACCATATAACAGCGCCGCCCACCTACTGGATATATCAGCACTGGAAAGACAAGACAGACTCTTCGCATTGGCATTGACATATCTCAAACCTACGCGCGCCGACTATGCCACGGCTGGATATACGGAATCGTTCAACTGGACGGAAGTATTCGAGTTGTTGAGGGCGTTTTCTGAAGCGGAGGATCACACGTGGAAGAGGCGTACTTATTATGTTGTTATTTTCCGGTCTATTTTGTTGCCGGATGTTGATTCGGATTATTTGTATGCGCTTGATGCGCATTCGCATCGCGAGGCTATGGCTAGTGGGGGGTTGTTGAAGTATTGGTTTGGGGCCAAGGATGGGATGGGGAGGAATTTGGCTACTTGTGAGTATTGTTCCTTTTTTTTACCTATTTTCCCTCTGCTTCTTTGCTTGCTTGGGTGGGTATTGGCAAATCGTGGCTCGGACTTATACATTTGTTTAGGTATTTGGCGCAATCGGGATGATGCTAGACTTGGTGGCCAGGGACCGTGGCATGCTCGTGCGAGAGCTGCTGGTTCGGTGTTGTATGAGCAGATTTTGTTCACGACACTGGGGTTGACTATTGGGGATGGGGTGGAATCGTGGAACCTGAGTGATTGGAAGGAGGATGCAGTCTGAGGAAATATGCTCGGAGGATGTCCGATATATAGGTACCAGATACAATAGAATCCGACATATGGGATGCCCGGATCTACAAATATCCAATATAAAAGCCGAGGGGACCTGTAAATGAACGGAGTAGTTAAGCAAAAGGAGAATATTCCCCGCAGTGGATCAGCAGTATTTTCCCCACAAGGCGTTGAAAGGGATCAAAAAGGCAGCCAATCTGTACATCACTGCGGACAATGTTACTCTTTACTGCTGTGCCTCCATCCCTCCTCATCTATGCAGTCATTCAATCAAGTCATGCAAGCCAACTTACACATAATTGCGGGGCATCGGGGTCAGCCTTGATATATATGCTTTGTGGTTGGCCACTTCTCCAGTTGAAATCCATATCCCTCCATGGAACTAGGAAGCAGCAATGTTATAAAGAGGCGGCATTGTCCCAGCTAACAGAGATCTTTTTCAATTCAACTCTTTATAGCAACGTTCAATTATCACATCCAAAATGGTCGGCCTCAAAGCAGACAACCTCGCCGTCAACGACGGCCCCTTGACCTCCGAGAATGCAGCCCTCCTCCGCCCTTCAGAGCCAACACTCCCCCTAGAAGAACTCCGCAAAAGATACGACGAAGACGGCTATCTCTTCCTCAAGCAAGTCCTCCCCCGCCAGGATGTCCTCGATGCCCGCGAATCATACTTCTCCTCCCTGCAATCAACAGGCGTCCTGAAGCCCGGCACAGAACCGGTAGAAGGTATCTTCGATCCAGCCAAAAGCCACCTAGACTATCCTGGTATTGGCGCCGGACACATTGGCGGCAATGGCAGGCCTGGTGGTGACCGGGCAGCGGCTTTTGTTGATCTCGCTCTCGATGCACACTACCAGGACTGGTACGCCGAGAAATTCTGCAACCACCCGGCGCTGTATGATTTTGTTGCGAAGTTTTCGGACTGGGGGAAGAATACGTTAAATCTGCGCCGTACGTTGCTGCGGAACAATATTCCTGGTTCGAAGCCTATTGGCGTGCACTACGATCAGATCTTCCTGAGATACGGAGATCCGACTAGTATTACTGCTTGGGTTCCAATGGGTGATATCAAGCTTAATGGTGGCGGTCTGATTTATCTGGAAGATGGTACGTCTATTCTCTACCTTGTTCTTATTTTCTTCGAATCAGGAATACTAATTGAGTTTACGGTTAAGGTGACAAAGTCGGACTCGGGTTGGAAGAGGCCTTCTATGCCAAGGCGAAGGAGACCGGTCTGACAGACGAAGAAGCCAAATCCGCTTTCAACACAAACATGATGGCAACGGGTCTACTATCCGAGTTCCCAAGTGAATTTGCTCGGGAAAATGGCCGTCGCTGGTTGGTGTCGGCATACGAGGCTGGAGATGTGGTGTTGCACAAGCCTCATATGGTAAATGACCCTTTCTTTTCATTGACGTGAATGTAAGAATTTTATTAACGAGGTGTAGATCCATGCGTCGACTATTAACAACGACCCGGACAATGTTATCCGTCTTGCTACCGATCTGCGGTTCTGTGACTCGTCCAAGCCATATGATAAAGTTAGTTTCATTGTCCCTGGAATCGAAGTTAGTGGCTAACTTATATTTGCAGCGATGGATGAACTTCTACAAGTTCGGTGATGGTGTTTAGGTGGCTGATCGTTGCTATTACATCTTTGGTTTTAGCGTGAGTCTTTACCGAGACTGTGTAGATAGATATGTGATGTGACCAGGCCTGTGAAGACTTACTTCATAACTCAATTTGTTTCTATTTATGGTCAGACTTCAGTCAATCGCACGGTTTGATTTGTTAGAAGTTGCATGGGAGACAGAAGCATGCAAGCATGAGACAGTACCACTCCCTCATTCCGGTCAACTCTGGTTAAAACTATGCCAATCATATTTCCTTCATGTTATCATTATGATTTAACCAGGCGTACTTGATTCGCAGGAGAGCAGTGCCTGGAATGCTATGTGTCATTTTTAGTGATTAACATGGGCACAGACTTATCCCTAGATCCACGAATGGCCCCATTTTTGAATGGAAAGCCATTTTAATGAAATAAATTATAGTAGTAAATGTTAGGAAGCCTTATGAATTGTCTCAAAAAAAATCTGATTTGATTGCGAGAACAGTAGAGGAACACGAATCGAGTAACATGTAAACGCCGGCATTTGGGTTCTACGGAACATCATTCCAAACTACGACAGGCGGTATTTCGCTAATTTCGCACAAACAACTTACTGTATATGAAGTATCTGTGGGTCACTGATCGCCCACTAGCACCTGGAATCTTGCTGTGATTGTTGTGACGCTCGCGAATAGAGTCTCCGCCGTTATTAGAGGTATCCCGTTCCCAAGCCTATACCAATCTACAACACACAAAATATCGATTCAAATACACATGTCGCAAATTATCTCAAGGCCATCATGGCTCACTGTTGCTGTTCTAGCACTGCTAGCAGTATCAACTGTCAACGCCGCCCCAGTCCGTGCAACAAACCAAGAAATGGAGGCAGAGCAGCCGACTAAGGTTGAATCCCGATCTCCTGTGAGTCACTTGCCAGAGCCATACCTTTCTCCCGGAAAACCCAACTAACGAAATTCCAGCGACTGATCCCCGATACTGAAGGATACGTCCACGACCTCTTGAAAGGCTTAGGCCTGGATGAGCCAAAGGCAACATCAACCGGCACGCCAACCACAGCGAGCATGAAAGCCGAGCAAGGTAAACCGGAGAATGAAAAGGCCACACCAACCACGCACATTACCTACTCCAGCTCTGTGAGCTACACACCCACCTACGGCAGCAATGGTGCGGGCTTCACGCACACCGTGAAGCACGAGGAGAGCAACAACAAGCCCTTTGAAAATGTTCAGATCTTGCCTGGATGGGGCAGCGACAAGAAGCTTACTTCCGAGAATCTGCCGAGTCTCTTTGCTGCTATGTACAGGGAGGTGAAGCACCGGGTTAGCGATATGATTAATAGCTCTGATGAGATTGGCCTGGATGGGTTTACGTGATGAGAATGGGATGGTTGTTGAAGATATGGAGGGCATTATGAAGAATTATTGATTTATGGAAATTTCGAAAGACGAATCGCGTCGAGTTTGTTTCTTTACGATGTACTACTTACTATTGATATGCGATTTTCCACATTTCCCACCGTAGAGTTTAAAGCCTACACTGGACAATTGACTATTTATCATTAGACTCTCTCAAACTTGACACTCTTTTTGGGAGGGATTTGATTTCGTTTAACTATAGAATATTCAGTCCTCTCGACGCGGATGAAATGGAAGATGAATGATGATGCCGTCCCTGGCATGAAGCAAAAAAAGAAATTTGGGGGTTCCGTTTAAATATGGGAAATATCTACGCCTCACGACGATAGTTCGGGATAGCGGGGAGACGAACCACGATGTCGTCTCTCACAGGATGCTCCTCAGTTGTGACTCCGTCATGGTAATAGCCCAGTTGATGAAGAGGGTATTACACTGGATCTCCAACAACAGTATTCTCGCATAGCTTTCCGCATGCTGCACGGCTATGACGCTGTCCCATTCACCGGTGACGGGGAGCGATATACAGCTTTTGTAAGTTGCATGAAGGGGTTCAGTGGTCACCAGACACTGGCGTTGCTCAATTAAGCGGATCGCCCGTTTCATGAAGTTCTCGTTAGTTCCGATGCGTCCGATGATGAACACAGTAACCCAGTAAATCGGTTGGGCAGTGTGCATATTGTGAAGGTCTTCTGGGACAAAATGCCCATCTTGGATAAACATACCTCTTTGGGTAGATCCTGCCCTTTCAGCAGGCTCGCGGGGCGCCATGATGATTGGTTTGTAATCTGAATGGGTGTTGCAAGTTTGGTTGTTCTTGATTTGATGAACACTGGACAGCCAGGTCCTTTAAATACTTCGAGATAGTACCATATTTAGCACATAACTATTCAATAATCCTAACAAAGGCCAGTCATTGCTATAATGAGCTTGTAAGGCGTCAATGACATGGTAAGGTGTTTAAGCGCAAGGGCCGTATAACAAAGAGGGCTATCGAGGGCTTTGATCCTCAGTCCATGATTAAAAGGTGTAAAAGAATCCATTCAAGGCCTAAGAGCTCATTGATGGCATTGAACACCTCAAATAGAAGTAATGAAGAAAACATGAGCTGGGAGTTAAACTTGGAGACGTTGCAGTTATCTCCATTAACTCCGGTCCTCGATATCCGACCACATCTCCGGACGCAAATAGGCGAAAGATGCCCGGAGATCGAGCAAGGCAGAAGGTACTGGAATCGAAGTCTATTACTATCACAATACTACGAGGCTTGCGGAGCCTGAGCATCCGTTGATCGTCTTCGATTGACTCGGCGGGGCAAATGCAAAATCCATAAAGAGAACCCGAACCGCTTCACCTTTTACTTCTCTCACAACAATATTCAACTATTCTATACTCAACTTTCCTCTCTAAGTGTCATATTTATCCCAACTTAACTTATAATGCCTTCGCTTGTTGGAAAAGAAGTCGGCCCTACCGGGTACGGCACCATGAGTGCGTTTCCCCTCCAGACACAGCAGAGCAGTCAAAAGACATCTACTGACCAAATTACCAGGAATGACATGGAACCCCCAGCCTCCATCCCAGGAGACATGCTTTGAGACCCTTAACACGGCTCTCGAGCTGGGTGCCAACTTCTGGAACGGTGGCGAGCTGTACGGCACCCCAGAGTACAACTCCCTTCATCTGCTGAACCAGTACTTCACCAAGCACCCAGAGAATGCTGAGAAGGTTGTTCTCAGCATCAAGGGTGGCCTGAAGAAGGGAGAGCTCATCCCGGATGGCTCTGAGGAGAACATCCGTCGTAGCGTGGATGAGTCTCTGCGTGTCTTGGACGGCAAGAAGAAGCTTGACATCTTTGAATGCGCTCGTCAAGATGCCAAAACTCCCGTTGAGGACACTATCAAGGTCCTCGCAGAGTATGTCAAGGAGGGTAAGATTGGAGGTATTGGGCTGAGCGAGGTTGATGCGGAGACAATTCGCCGAGCGTACGTGCATCTTCATGATTGTTCTAATGTAACTTGATCTGACTACTTCTACAGACACAAGGTGCACCCCATCGCCGCTGTCGAGGTGGAGATGTCACTTTGGTCTACTGATATCCTAGAAAACGACATCGCCAAGACCTGTGCTGAGCTCCAGATCCCCGTCATCGCTTACTCGCCCCTGGGCCGAGGTGTGCTCACAGGAGCTGTCACCTCCATGGCAGACATCCCCGAAGGCGACTTCCGACGCCACATGTCCCGTTTCCAAGAGGAGAACTTCCAACAAAACTTGAAGCTCATCAACGCTGTCAACGACCTGGCCGCTCGCAAGGGTGTCGCCCCGGCTCAGATTGCCTTGGCCTGGATCCGCAGCCAGAGTGGCAAGCCTGGCCTGCCCACTATTATCCCCATTCCTGGTGGTACTACGAAGGACAAGGTGATCCAGAATATGAGTGGTGTGCAGGTGCTGACGGATGCGGAGCTCGCTGAGATCGATGCCCTCCTGAAGGTGCACACTGTTGCTGGGCCTCGGTACTAGATTGTATGCTTTGAGCTTGTTAGCTATGAACTTGGATATATAAATTCACACTTTTGAAGCCAGGAATTGTCTTCACATCTCAGATCAAGTGTAGAATAAGTCAACATGCAACCTCACAATGTATTGAATACACGGAGGTTGTCGGAATTGCAGAATTCTTTCGAATAATCATCATGTAAAGTATGGGGAGGAAGTAAAAAAAGGGGAAGCTTACCATTGAGTTAGTGGGTTAGTGTGAATGTAGATATAGTTTCAATCGATGCAGAACAACATAATGTGAATCCTCAAACACAGTAGTGGCAGTGAGTGAAGAAGGGAAAGAGTTGAAGAGCGCGGAGACCTTTGCGTGAATAGGTCACGTGAGACACATTGGTCCATCGCGCTCACGTGACACCATATGCCTCCTAGCATCGCGATGCCGTCGCGACAGCCTCAAAGTACAATCTCATTTGCCATTCCTCCTTTGTTGTACGAGTACTGTTAGTCCACAATGGCTTCAAGGGAATCTCCTGGTTCCCCTCTTTCATCGGTCGGGTCACTCGAGACCTCGGACCATGAATCAATGAAACAAGACAGCCGCGCGCATTCGCCCTCGATGTCAAATATGCCACCTTCGAAGCGGCGTCGCACTGGTGTTGCATCTTGGGACCGTCAAACTCCTCTCTCCGCAGCCCAGGACGACAACCAACCACCTCCCTCCCCGACAGACTCGATTTCCTCAGATAGCTCCGGCGATATCCCGAATTCCCCTAGCATACTCGGCATCCTGGGCACCAACCAGGAAGATGACTATAGCGGCCAGAGTACCGACCAAGTCACCATCTGTCGATGGGATGGATGCACAGCTGGCGACCTCGGTAACATGGATGGGTTGGTGCAGCACCTTCACAATGAGCACATCGGCAGCCGACAGAAACGGTACTCATGCGAGTGGATCGACTGCACCCGTAAAGGTCAAACACATGCCAGCGCTTACGCTCTGCGCGCACATATGAGAAGCCACACCCGCGAAAAGCCCTTCTACTGCACGCTACCTGGTATGTTCTTTTCTGATCCTAGCCCTCACCCTCGACAGCAACGTCAGTTTACTTATCATATCAAACAGAATGTGACCGCAACTTCACTCGATCAGATGCCCTGACCAAGCACATGCGCTCTGTGCATGAGACAGACACTATGCGCACCATCGACTCACTCTCCAAGGTCCATGCAGCCCCTGGCAGCACGGCCGGCACCCCTGCCTCGAAGATCCAGCGCATCCGCCTGAAGCTCTCTCAACCCAAGGAGCCGGGCACCGAGTCCGAACCCCATGGCGAAACTGCCATCCCGCCCAATCCTATCGTTAACACGAATGAAGTACCAGATCTCGACGAGACCACGATGCCAGAATTCGGACCCGAGCTTAACTTCGACCAGCACGAGCTCTCCTTGCCCCCGCGCGACCTGTACCGTCTCCTCCGTCGACAAATTGCATGGGCAGGGAAGGAGACTGCCCAGCTACAGGCTGAGTGGGAGGAGATCCGGCCACGGCGCGAGCAAGCGTGGCGCGAGAAAGAGATCATCTTTGATGATCTCATTGATGCCGAACTAGGTCTTTTTAGCGCCATTGTGGGGTCTGTGCCTCCGGCAAATCTCACCACCAGCCTGGAGAAGCTGCAGCAACAACAGCAGCAGTTTCAAAACCAGCAGGAGCAGCTACAGGAGAAGTCAATTGAGATGCCGCATCCGCATCCGCATGTTGAGGGCAGTGCTTAGCTGAATGCACTCTAGCTCTTGTTTACCCCGTTTGTTTCCCTTTCTTTCTTCTATTGCCAGGCTGGTGAGCCTGGCCTTAAGTTTCTCGTCATTTTTGCGTCACCGTGCCCTTTGTTGTTCTTGTACTATGGCGTGCATGGCGTTTGGCCCTGCAGTTCTTTATTTGCATTCCCCGGGCAAAGGGGAAAGGACGTAATTTCGATGGAATGTATGAATAGCTTTCGGACCTTGCCCGACAACGGCTCACCACTCTGAGTGATGCCCAAAATGATATTGTCGATAATGATGATTCCCGAGGTCTTCTTCTCCCCAAATATAAAACACCCACCCGGTCGACGCTCTTCACGTCTTCATCTTTTTGCTTATGAACATGCTTGTGCTTATATACTCGTTGTCTCTGAGAGAACTGCCAGGTAAGTCATCCTTAGCCCTAATTTGTGAAATTGCCTGGCTACGGTGATATGTGGCAGGGGTGAAGAGATGGTAGCCAAGAAAACATCTAAGTTAGTGCGAGTATTCGGGGCTCTTCAACGAATGAGGACTTATCGGACGACTCAGCTCGTGATGTACATACTTGTTACATCTATGTACTTAGCTGAAAATGCACAGCTTCGATCATGGTAGCTAAGCAACTCTTCCTTGAAAACCCAAATATCACGTTATACAAACTTGAGTTTGGACGGTAAGTTAATGTTAGGTTGAATATGTCGTTAAACAGGAGGGCCCGACTACGCGGAATTTCCCCAGTCAACTACATCGTCCGATCCTGACGTCCAGGTTCGTGGACCTATCCTCCCCCTAAAAATCTGGATACGGAAGGACTTGGTGTATTTATAATGTATATTTCCCCAACGGAAACGAAGTAGTTTTGACCTAATCATTTCAGGTCGTCATCGGGGTTCTTGCGACGTCCTGGGTAACGCTGCTATGTCTAATACTTCATTATATTGCAACACGATACAACACCTAAAGTTCCTCCAAGGATAAACAGGACTTGATAGACCGGTATATCTGGCAAAGAACGCAGCGGACGCCAAGGTGGACGCCATCTTTTAATATTCAATGGACTAGTCACCCGGTTTCTCCAAATGTCTTCGACAACTACAATTCACGAGCACTGCATCAAACCTCACTAGGGGCTTGTAGATCAATGGCTTTGTATGGGCATGTCGAACTCACACGTCTGTGCAAATGATGTTTTTGCCTTCGGCCATGTTTTTTTCTATGACTCTCTTTGCAATTGTCCGATGTCTGGTGAATTTCCTAAGCTCTATTTTCTCTAGGTAAGTTACCCTCTCATCTCTTTCCTAGAGACTATACGGAGTACCGTGTTTCTAATTACGTCAAGTTACTCTAGTCGCTCTTCTCATTGATATGGTGAACCATCCGCAGTCATCGTAGCAGGACTATTTTCACCCGACGTGAATTCCTGGGATTTCAGCCAATTGGTCCCGGTATTATTACTTCTTGTCCCTGCTCTCTTGATGGCAGAGGTTTACTCATGTGAACCAAACCTGCAGTCAATCTAAAAGCACCTTTCAAGGCTTACTCACTTTAGCAGATGCCATTCAGAATGACGACCAGAGCATTGTACAAACAGATCAACTACCCGCTCACAGAGGGAAAAGACTTCAGCATCGCCCATATTAGAAGAGAGTCGAAGAGTACTCAGACCCTCCCCACAAATTCTTATGTTATCCAAGCAATCCCAGGCTCAGTTTGCACCACTTGCTTCAGCTTGCGAGCACAACTTCAAGTTTGAACCGTGTATCTGCATTGTCAACATCTGCTCACATTTGCTTTGATTAGAGTTGGCTCTGGGACACTGATTTTTGTGTTAGATCTGGTTTCGCCTGTAGCCTTAGGGCAAAGCGGGAACACAATCTACACCCTGAACCTGACGTTTCCTTTAGTAGACCTCGTCCCTAGTGCTCTGGGCCTACTCTCAATATGGTGCTGGATCATGACCAATCTCGACCCAGTTCCTTTGGTTCAGCGGCAGTCTCTATCAATTGTGAGAATCGTGATTGATATCGATAAGGTCTGTAGGAAAGCGCGGCTTGTATTCTTTACGGCCTTCCCCGTGGTATTTTCCATCTTTGCTACGCTCTTTTGGGGAGATAGGTCGTTCCTCCTAGTGACGATGTGTATGTCGGTCTGGTGTGCTATTTCTTGCCTTTGCATGTTTCCTGCATTCTTGATGGGCCCCTATTCTGTTTTCCGAGCCGTATTCGAGTATAACGTCTGATAGTATTGACTCCCGCATAAAAGCATTTCTCAAGCGGCGACGCACAAGGAGGCAATTTCGAAGAGAAAGGAGTAGTGAACATGCTCTCGATCTATTCCATATCGTAGAACAAATGGAGCTAACTTTTGATGACATTACTACAGATTTTTCTAGGTTCCATTTACCTCGGCCCATAGGTCCTTGCTCTTCTTTCATTTCACAGCTTAATCAAGTGGCAACGTTCATATCTAGACCTGACGGTCTTTGTCGATGATCTGGCATTGGGTCTAAGCCACAGAATAAGAAAAGAAATGTCACAGATAACGCGCTTCCCGCCGAGTGATCTCATGAAGATACAAAGAAAATCAATCGACGCCGTTGCAGCCACCCCATAAGATACATATGCCGAGAAAGAAGAAAGAAAATCAAAACGGCCTTGGCCCGCTGGGGCACACCGGCATGGATGATTCCACCGTATGCCTCAGCGGGCATGAAAGTCAACAGCAAATTATAGCAGAGGAGGAAACAGCTAACTGGACCGACCCAAAGGAAGACATGGGATAAAAGTCCAGTCTAGATGACCCCCTGCAGAACAGAGATAGAGAAAGAGGGAGAAAAAGCAAGAGCCGAAACTCGCCCATGCAGTGTTGATCCAAGACTGAAGTGAAGTGGTGCTCATTTCGAACTGTATATCTCTCTGTGCTTTTCGGGTTTCACGCAAATCATTCGACGCCTTTCGCAATGCCAGACAACGAGTTGGGGTCGTATCCATATGTACCTTCAATCAAAGAACCGAAAAAAGGACAGACTGTCTCACTCACCATGACAACATCAACACATGTCAAGGAAGAGTGACAAGTGACAGTAACAGCAATTCCAAAAAGCCCAAATACTGAAGTTCAGGGGTCCAATGCAAGAATGCAGAATGAACGGAGTACAAAATTGTGCAAAATCAAACAAATCTGCAGGAAATGAAACAATATAAGAAAAAAGGGATATGTTGCAAGTGTCTACCGTGAGAAAGGATAGATACCTGGGACAAAGAAACGCTGAACATGCATGTCATCAAACCGTGCTAATATGAGAATAATCTGAAACCAAGAACACCTGTATCCGTTATATGAACGGGAACCAAAAGGGGCTCAAGCTGATGTACCGTTAGAGGGTTTAGAAACTTTACTGGCTTCCATGACCTTGTTGAACATCTGTTGTAGCTTGGCTCCACTGGCTTCCTTGTTTGGCCAGTAGTTCAGCGAAACGTAATCCCTACGAAAGTCAGTAAGAAACAACATAGATCAAGTTTTGTCAGAGCTTACCAAAGGCGGACCTCCAAGGAGGGCATAGATTGAGAGCCCTCCAAGGTATTGCGAATGAATTCGCCAATTTTTACGAGGGTGAGACGGAGCTTCTGAGCCCTCTCGTTCTTGCTGGGATAATTCTTGGCTGTGATCATTGACACTTGCTTCAGGTTGGCAACAATGGGCTTGAAGAACATGAAGGCCATATCCTCCTTATTGGAGTGGCCATTCTCATGCCCTTTGCGTCGGCGAAGTTCGTCATTCGAGGCGTCAGACAGACGATGGCGAGGACGATCAATATCCATACCAGATCGAGGGCGCGAGTCGCGAGAGTCGTGACTGGGAGTGTGATGACGATCATCCCGGCCGCCATGTGTGTGGGAGCGTGGTCGTGAACGATCAGACTCGCGGTGGTGACCCTTGCGGGAGCCCGAGGGAGCTGGAGAGGCGGAAATGCTGCCGCTACCAGAAACCCTTGAGTTCCGCTTGTTATTTCGGTGGTGGTTGTCCACTGCCCTTCGTGCGGTGGCATTGTTGTTGTACTTGTTCCTCAAAACAGACATGAGATATTCAGCTCGTCGAACAAGGTGTACAGCACCAGGGGACTTTGTGGCTTTCTCCTCAGTCTGCAGGCGTTGTGTCTTTCTCTCCACTCGGTGTTCCTCGAGGAAGAACTTGTCGCCAAGGCCGAGATCAGCATCATCACGAATCTGAGTCCATGCACCAAATCCATGGCGTGCGATACCAACGAGAAGCATTCCATCCTCACGTGCACCCCATACGCAGCTGTAATCCGCCGTCTTAGTAGCCTCAGGAAGACGGAATGTCCTAAAGTCAGGCAGCGAACTAGTAATGCTTCGGATGAGGCGCATGTCCGGCGGGCGCTCAACAATTGTCCAGGCATTGAGGCGTTTGACGCCGTGATGGTCAAATAGAACTGCCTTCTGTTCCTTCTTTGTGGGATTTCTTCCTGATTGCTTCATTGCCTCCAGTTGTTCAAGGCTTTCTTGAACAAGCGAATTGGCCTTCTCAGTGATTTCACGAAGAGCAGCACGAATGGTGTCCCGATCGCGAGTTTGCAATCGGGCGTCTTCAAGGATGAGCTCCTCAGAGTCATCCATATCACCATAGCGAAGGAAGGCCCGAGAGAGCGCACGGTACTCCTTTTCGCCAAGAGGACGCTTGGGATCCAATGAGGCGCTCTCATCCTCGCCATCATCGATGTGGACTTGAGCTCGCGCTAGACGCTTCGCCTTGCGTTCCTCTCGGGAATCCTTGGGGTCGGTGGGGGCTTGACGTTTGCGGGGTCGGTTTTGTTCAATCACTTCAGCAAGATAAACCTCATCATCCTTGCGCTTTTCCTCAGCCTTGATTTCGTCGAGTTGTTCCTTAGGAATGATGTCGTCCCAGGTGAGGTCATCGACTTTGATGTCGACGAAATCGAAAGCCTTCAAGAACTCTTCGCCACCGTCAGCCTGGATTTGCTCCGCCTCTTCCGTCTGATGTAATTCTGCATTCGCAAGAACAGAGTCGATGTCGAGTTGTTCCAACTTCTTTTGGTTGTCGGTTTGCTCGAACATCTTCTGGCCACGGCGTTTGAGAATCCTGGAAATATCATCTGTGGAATTGGGCTCGTTGACAACACGAGCCATCTTGTTTTGCATCTCAGACGCTTCCTTGTCCGTGACACCACGCTGGATAGTAATGAACTCAAGCAAAAGCTTGTTGCGAGCTCTTTCAATGACTTCCTCTTCAATTGTATCCTTTGAGACAAGGCGGTAAACGCTGACAGGTCTTGTTTGACCGATTCGATGGGCTCGTGCCATGGCTTGCAAATCAGCCTGGGGGTTCCAATCCGAGTCAAACAAAACAACAGTGTCTGCAGTCATCAGGTTAATACCGAGACCACCGGCACGGGTGGAGAGAAGGAATGCGAAATCGGTGCTACCCGGGGCGTTGTAGTGTTCAATGGCCAAGCGACGCGAGGCAGATGGGATAGTTCCATCTAGACGTTGGTACTTGTAGCCACGGTATTCCATGTATTCACTCAGGATGTTGAGCATGCCAACCATTTGACAGAAGATCAAAACACGATGGCCGTCACCTCGGAGCTTGCGAAGGAGCTGGTCGAGAAGCATCATCTTTCCACTACTGGTAATCATAGCACGAAGGATGTCTTCGCGGCGGGAGCTACCTTCCAAGATCTTGGCTTCCGCATTGGGGAACATGAAAGGGTGATTGCTAGCCTTTTTCAACTCCATCATGATATTCAAAAGGGATTGCTTCATTCCCTTGTTGCCGTCATTCAACGCCGCGTAGTTCTTCGTTAAGATGTTCTTGTAGTATTCCAATTGAACATCAGATAGCTCAACTCGGATGATCTTCTCGGTTTTAGGGGGAGGTCAGACTCGACCTTGGACTTGGTACGACGTAACATGAAGGGTTGAATAGCGTCGGTTAATTCAGCCAATTTTTGCGATGCGGCTTCGGCATTCAGATCCATATCCACATCGACTTCAATCAGGCCGGGGTTGAGGAAGTCCATCAAGGCTGAAAGTTCAGCCAAGTTGTTTTGAATTGGGGTACCGGTGATCAGAAGACGAGCCTGGCACTTCCACTCAAACAGCTTGATGTAGAGTTGAGAGTCACGGTTCTTGAGACGGTGGGCCTCATCGACTGCCATGAACTGCCACTTGAATTGCCCAAGGAAAGGAGAATCGTTCATTGCGTACTCATAGGTGGTTAACAAGACATGGAATTTGGGACGCTTGGGGTTCCCATCTACCATCAGCTCATAGTCACGAAGGACGGAGCGTGCTTTTTCGCTACCGTTGTAGACCACGTAGTTTAGGTCAGGTGTCCAATTGTCAAATGTGTCAGCCCAAGCTGGCATAGTGGAGAGGGGGACGATGACAATAAATGGCCCTTGCTGCCGTCTGACATGCCGCATCCAGTTGATGAATGAAACGGTTTGCACGGTTTTTCCAAGACCCATCTCATCTGCCAGCACAACATTACGACCTCTGACCCAGTTGAAGGCCAAGAAGTTGAGACCCTTGATCTGGAAATCCTTCAGCTCTCCGTTTTGTAAGAAGGTAGGGGTGCCGTGGATGGGCTCAAACGACTTGCGTGTGGCCAGGTTGGTCTCGTTCTTGTCAGAGATAGGTTGACGAGCAGTGCGATCCAAGAAACGATCAATTTCGCGCTGTGCAATTTCACTGATCAAGTCCTCGGGCTCCCATGTACATGAGTCGTATAAGAGGCGTTTCCATTTGACGAGGTATTCGGTGGTGCCATCTTCGCTATCACGTACACCGATGACTCGTTCAACCATTTTGTAGTCTTCAATTGCCTCGACGTCACGCTCGCGATCAAGATTCCACTTTTCCCGGTCCTCCGGGGGGGCATCGACACCATACCGTAAGCGGATATCCTCGCTGAGGACCTTTCGAACGTAGTTGTCAACACGTCGCGTACTGCGGAAGTTTGACATAGACTCGTTGTTTTCCCAAGTGGCATGATAGTGGGACTTGTCCTGCCACTTGATGCAGAACTCAAAGTCATTACGGTCGACATCCTGGGTTTGGGGGTCAACACCCTCCTTGAGGCGGTGATTGAGAACGACATCGACGGCAGGTCGGTTGTCTTCAACATATGTTTCCGCCCAGTAGTTCGGTGCAAGGTCCTCCGGGTCTTCTTCAAACATGGCTTCGTCCTCATCATCCTCTTCATTGTAGTTCGATACCTTATTAGCGGTTCGCGTTGAGAAGCGAACCTCATTCAAAGAAGGTTCATAGCTATTGGTTTGTTGGAGACGTCGCCTTCTTGCTTTGCTTGCACGAGCACTCTTTCCCCCATACTCATCACTGTCTGACTCGGATAGTGACGACACAGTGGCGGACCGCGAGGCTTTAGAGGGCTGTTGGGATGTTTCGGTACGCCGACGCTTTGAACGCGGCGCGACAATATCTGACTCTGAATCAGACGAGTCGGCGAGGTGGCGTGTTGTGCGAGCGCGACCACTTCGGCGAAGTCCATACAAGTCGGGATTTTGTCTTATTAACTCGGTTTCGGACACCGGCGACGATCCGCGCCTCCCACCGCGAGCGGAGGGAGGGGATGAAGAGTTTTCACGGCTGTATGTATTGGCCTCGTCATCATAGTTATCCTCTGCAGCATCATCATCCTCGGCATCTGAATCTGCAGACGCGCCATCATATGAGTCGTCCGCGGCATCGGGTTCGGGGGAGGACTCGGAGACGGGATGTGAATCAATGAGCTCGGACGGGCTGCGTTCTCGTGGCGCTACCGAATTGCCTTCGCCATGGCTATCATCCGCGATGGGCAAATCAAGGAACGCGTTAGACATCGTTGAGGTGGAAGGAGGTTCTTGAGCAGATGGGATCACCATGCCAGAGGCTATAACCGAGGGGCAGTCAGCATTGAAGCTCAATTCGGACTAGGACAGGCATGAGAGATGCAGAGATGGGTAAAACAAGGTCACGCGATCCATATTGCGGTAAAATGAAGCTATAAACCCAGTAGAATAGGCCAGGACATTAGGTTTGATGGAGGGTATGTTTTTTTGATGACGGGTGGGATGGACGCTGCCGGGCATGAAGAGAAGGCAATGGCCAGGTTGGCACAGGCAATCAGACTCGAAGATAGCAGTGACATATTGCTCGCAAGACCGCAGTCCATCAAGAAATGGATCGGAGTAGAAATGAGGTATTTCAAGGATTCGTGCAGTGGGTCGAAGAGCGCGGAGATGTACCGCGGCGAACGATTCGGGCGACAACTCTGAGATCAAGGAAAAGATAAAAATTACTTACACTCCATAGCGTGGTGACCCCGAAAGCGGGGGATCGGGAGATCAATGTGGAAAAGAAAATGGTGGGTGGGGGAGAAGCGTTGGCTGGTATGGGGGAAGAGGAGACGAGACTTGGAAGAACAAGAGGATTGGGGACTGGAGGGTTTGCTTGGGTTTGACACCCGATCTCTCAGGCAGAAACAAGCCTCCCGATGTGGACTAGCGTGTTCGCTTGCCGCCGGCATCTCGCCGGATCACGTGGCACAGGATCAAAAGTTACTCCGGGCGAGTCCAACAGCCAATCACCGCCTTGATAAATAAGTGACGCAGTTGGGGCCTGAGGCACTCCAGCCCACAATACGAAAGAGAATGCATTCAATTCTGCCGCCCCTCGTTCATTGATAGTGTGTTCTGTCCTCTTTACAAAGTCGAGTCTGCGCGGACATCTGGTGCTTTTCTGCGCCCTTACATACCTGCGACAGCACTTTTCGGCCTAATCCATCGCAACCCCCTGCGTCCAGTTTGGGCTCATTCTTTTTTATCTTCCTCATACCTCATCCAGGTTCTTTGAACCACATCCGCCGCCATGTCTGACAAGCTTACGCGGTATGTTTCGGCAGCTCTTGAAGTCGTATATAGCTTTGCTAACGTGTTTTTCTCTCTATAGTATTGCGATTGTCAACAGTGACAAGGTTCGTCGAGAAATACCCCACTAATACCGTTTTCTCTCCGGTTCGCGACAGCCTGGCTCACATGAATTCTTTTCAACTCTACAGTGCAAACCGAAGGTACGCGACTCCCCATAATATTCTCATGGTTATATCAGGGGCTGATCAGTTGCAGAAATGTCGTCAAGAGTGCAAGAAGTCGTGTCCCGTGGTCCGCACTGGAAAGCTTTGCATTGAGGTCGACCCTACCTCCAAGATCGCCTTCATCTCCGAGCGACTGTGTATTGGTTGTGGTATCTGTCCCAAGAAGTGCCCCTTCGGTGCCATTCACATTATCAACTTGCCCACCAACCTCGAGACCCAAGTCACCCACCGTTACTCGGCCAACAGTTTCAAGCTTCACCGTCTTCCCATGCCCCGCCCCGGTCAGGTCCTCGGTCTGGTCGGAACCAACGGTATCGGAAAGAGTACCGCTTTGAAAATTCTGAGTGGCAAGCTCAAGCCTAACCTGGGTCGATATGAAAACCCTCCCGACTGGGAAGAGATTCTGAAGTACTTCCGCGGTTCCGAACTGCAGAGTAAGCGCCAGCCAGATACAATTGAAGAATATCAGAGAAGCTAACTTTAGTAGACTACTTCACCAAGGTTCTTGAGGACAACCTGAAGGCTGTCGTGAAGCCTCAGTATGTCGACCAGATTCCCCGCGCCGTGAAGGGCCCAATCCAGCAGGTCGCCCAGCTCATCGAGGCTCGTGTCCAACTCGATAACAAGGACGAGATCATGGACGTTCTCGGTACGTTATGTTTCCTACTTCAATGCATTGTAGAAACTCGCTAATATTTGCCCAGAGCTGCGCCAGGTTGCCGAGCGTGATATTGGTCACCTTTCCGGTGGTGAGCTTCAGCGTTTTGCCATTGGTCTGGTTTGTGTGCAGAAGGCCGACGTGTAGGTTTTTCCGTGCATGGGGTCCAGGTCCATTGCTAATACTAGTATAGGTACATGTTCGACGAGCCTTCCTCATATCTCGATGTTAAGCAGCGTTTGGCTGCTGCCCGCACTATCCGTGGCCTTCTCCGTCCCGACGACTACGTTATTGTTGTTGAGCACGATTTGTCTGTGCTTGACTACCTCTCCGACTTCATTTGCGTGCTTTACGGTCGCCCTGCTGTTTACGGTGTTGTGACTCTGCCTTCCTCCGTCCGTGAGGGTATCAACATCTTCTTGGATGGTCACATTCCCACCGAGAACTTGCGTTTCCGTGAGGAGTCTCTCACTTTCCGTCTTGCTGAGGCTGGTGAGGACTTCATTGTGGACAAGGACCGCGCTTTCTCCTACCCGGCCATGGAGAAGACCCTCGGTGGCTTCCACCTCAAGGTTGAACCCGGAAAGTTCACCGACTCTGAGATCGTTGTCATGATGGGTGAGAACGGAACGGGAAAGACTACCTTCTGTAGAATGCTTGCTGGTGCCGAGAAGCCCGACGGTCTCGTCTCCGTCCCCAAGATGAACATCAGTATGAAGCCTCAGAAGATTACCCCCAAGTTCCAGGGTACCGTCCGCCAGCTGTTCTTCAAGCGTATCAAGGCCGCTTTCCTGTCTCCCCAGTTCCAAACCGATGTCTACAAGCCCCTCAAGATGGACGACTTCATTGACCAGGAAGTCCAGAACCTGTCTGGTGGTGAATTGCAGCGTGTCGCCATTGTCCTGGCCCTGGGTATGCCCGCTGATATCTACCTGATTGACGAGCCTAGTGCCTACCTGGACTCCGAGCAACGTATTGTCGCCGCCCGTGTCATCAAGCGTTTCATCATGCACACCAAGAAGACCGCTTTCATCGTCGAGCACGATTTCATCATGGCCACCTACCTTGCTGACCGTGTCATCGTCTTCGACGGAAAGCCATCCGTGGACGCTCGCGCCAACACCCCTGAGTCCCTTGTCACTGGCTGCAACCGCTTCTTGAAGAGCCTGGACGTCACCTTCCGTCGTGACCCCAACAGCTACCGCCCCCGTATCAACAAGTACAACAGTCAAATGGACCAGGAGCAGAAGTTGGCTGGTAACTTCTACTTCTTGGAGGAAGAGGCCTGAAAGGGGCGTCTACAACGAGCGACGTCGCCGCCGTCACAAAAATGATGGCCGCGACCCTGAGCAGCGGCGAAATTGGCGCCGCGGCGACAGGAAGATCATGTGGTTAATGGCGTTCCCGGGCGTTTACAGAGCCTCGGCGGTTCAAGGCAAGCGACTGCATCGCTGCGCCGGGTCCTTTCCTGGTGACGACGATAGTCCCTCGGACGAGGATGGCGATGGCGATGGTGATTTAAATGGCAGCAACGACTACGGCTAGCGAAGGGGTGACCTGGTTCGGTTCACTTTAACCATTCCCTGGTCTAGTACGCTCATTTATTTTGGCGACCTGCTGCCATTCGTCAATCCATCATCAAATGCCTATGTCGTTATTCGCCTTGCAACTACCTTTACTGGCTCTGGATTTGTTTGACATATCCAGGGTCATTGGCCACCGAACGGGAACACTTGTCTGCAGATCTTTCACCTTCACACCTTTTCATTTTTTGAAGGTGAATTGGGATCGGCATGGTTAGTTCCAACGGAGTTATTATACATTAGGTTGGAGGGTTTGGGTTTTCAAAAGTTCTTCAAACTTTTAGCATCGGTTTAAAGATGGATTTTTCGAACTGGATTGGTCCTTCTGGACCAAGGATGGCATGGGCTGAACTGCTGGCTTTCTTGCCTCTTATCTTTAGATGGGTTTGACCTGCTTGCAGATGCTTAGAAATGCTATTTTCTATTTTCATCTTCAATCCAAGTTATGTTTTCTAAGTGCTTTTACATCTCATGTGAAAAACATTGTTACTTAGGGCATTTGGCCCTAAAATGCATAATATATATTTCCAAGACGCGAAGCGTTTTGGATCTGGAGTTTTTTTTGGATCTGGAGTTATATACGAGGGCTAATGGAAAAAAATATGAACAGGTAAGCCAGTATATGATAATTAAGAGCTCAAAATTCAAAATAAATACATGCATACCTGATATGTCTAAATTACAGAAATCTGATATATTACATTGCCAGTATGCGGAGGCAGACCCACCCAAGGCAAGACCGCCAAATCGAAGAGTATTAGCACTAGCACTGGCTGCACCTACTGTACCAAGCGGGCTATGTTGAAGAACCATGTTGGAGAAATAGCCGGGCGCAAGCACCTGCTTGAGTCGAGCCTCTAAGCGAAGAAAAATGGTAGGTGATAGGGGGCATCTGTGAATATTATTTATCTTCAATGCTGCTCTGGTTCCATTTGTGTACATACAAACGGCCCTGTCCCCATACATCCCCGCCTGGGAGATTGATATACGCAATTGGACAGCTAGAAATAACATTGAACATTGAACTTGCGAGTATTCAGCTTGTATCTTATCCACTAGGAAGAAAAGAGAAAAGAGTTGGGGACTCTATTCCTTCTCAACTTCTTCATTACTGGAGTGAATTACGCTCTCATTCTGCCCTATATCCTGCTTCGCAAGAGTAAACAGTCTGAAAGAACATATAACTTCAAACGTTGTTGATGTAACTTCGGCTTGGTATCCTACCTTTCAAACGAGAGAGAAAAGAACCGAGAACTCTATTCCTCCTCCTCAATTTCGCCCTCTTCGCTGCCAGAGTGAATAGCCTTTTCATCCTGCTTGGTATCTTGTTTTGTATCTTCTCCCTCTTCGGGAATGGCAGATTGCTCTCGACGAGGAGCCCGGGAGCCTCTGCTGCGATCCCGCTCACGGCTATCACGACGATAACGCTTCGCAGACCGGCTGGCAACGCTTTCAGAATCACTGTCGCGCCGGCGACGACGGTCTCCACTGGCCACACTCCGAGTGTCACCGCCGCCACCGTAGTCAAGCTCGTCACGGCCGCCACGGGGGTCACCACGGGTACGGTAAAGACGTTCGCGCTGGTCCTCGCGTGGGTCGGCATCCCGGGCAGAACGCGAACCACGATCGAAGTCGCGGTCCCGAGAACGGTAACGGTCACGGTCACTGCGCTCATCACGGCGGTCACGGGACGGGGAGATCCCACTGACCTTGCGGTAGGTACGTTCACGGTCTGCCTGGGCCTTACGGCGGTCTGCTTCGTATGCATCGAGTTCTGGGGTTCGGCTGACTCGTCCGCTGGGTCCCCGTCGTTCTCCTCGGCCGCTGCGGTAGTCACGGTCGCGGTCGTAATCCCGACGGCTCCCACGGCTTTGGGTGTGGGATTCACGCTCCTTCTCGGCGTCTTCGTCTCGTTCTTTCATGCGGCGGATCGTCTTGTCAAAGGCAGCTTCCCGAAGTTCATCTGATTCAACGGCTTTGTATTCTTCGTACTTCTCAAGGCGCGGTTGGACTTCGCTCCAGGTGTCGGTTACCCGAATCGGTGGCTCCAGACGCTTGATTCGAGATCGCAGGGCGTCCGCGGCACGACGTTGGTGGCGGTCTGCGGCATGCTTCTCTTCTTCATTACGCCGAGCAGCCTTATCCTGAATACGCTGGAAAATAAGACTGAGAATATCGGAGTCGATTTTAGAGGTGCGGCGGTCCGCAGTCATGATGGCATTGAATTCATCGAAAGACGTTTCAGGGGTGACTTCGTATCGTTTGTCCTGCATTTGTTAGCTTGACCAGTTCAGTTGCGTAAAAACATTCCTAACTCACATCGAGAACATCAAGTACATCGTTTCGGGGGCCACGCAGCGAGCGCTCCTCTTCTTCAACCATATCCCAGAAAAGCTCAAGAGGCGTCGATCCAGGCTGTCCGAGAATTCCATGGTATCTGGGGTCATCCTGAATCAGTGGGCAGATGTTCATCCACTTACTGCCTGCCTTGATCTTTCCCTGGGACCGGAGCTCCTTGAGCAATTCCAAGAACTGCTCTCGGGCCTTGCGCTCCTTTCGGGCTCTTGCTGCCTTGTGCTGCTGGCGAGCATCGTTGAATGCGCGTTCCAATGACTTGATGTGATTTTCAAAGGCGGTCAGAATATCAGATTTGCTCAGGGTCTTGAACTTATCATCGCCCTGAAACTTATCGTCCGACTGAATGATAGCATGTGCCTCGGACCAACGCGTGTATGGCTCTAGGTCCAGCGAACCCAGGATGTTGACCAGCTCATCCATGGCGGCCTTCCGGGTGACAGCCTCCTGTTCGACGTGAGTCTTTTTGAGTTGAAGGATGTACTCCTCGAAGAGCTGGCGTCTTTCGCCTTCATCGTCGGTAGCCCGGAACGTGGTCTCGCCCTCAATAATAGGACGGATAGTCTTCCATCGACTGTAGTGCTTGATCTCAGGATGCCGCTTCAACATGGTATTGAAATCTGCGCGGAGCTTAGCGAATCTTTCTTTCGCTCGGTCCTTTTCCTGCATGCGAACCTCAACCGCGTATTTCTCAAATGCTGCTTTGCGGTCTCGCGGGTCTTTGAGAGCGCGGTATTGAGGGTCTTTGATGGTGGCGCGCATTGTCTCCTCCCACGTCCAATCGGGCTGCACATTGTGTCGCTTGAGCAGCTTCATGAATGCGCTCTCGGCTTCCTCGAGGGAATTGTAGTCAGGATCAGTCTGCGCCTTGAATTCTGGTGCGGCGACTGTGCCATTGTTGTCATAAGAGCCGTATCCAATGCGCCGGTCGCCGTATCCTCGATCGCCTCTGTCACCTCGGTCGAAGTCGTCGCGATCACGATGTTGAGATTGCGGAGGGTAGCTTGAGCCACCTGCGACAAACGATGAGCCGCTAAAGTATGGTTAGTACGGATGCTGGCAGGTTCAGGGGTTGCTTACGCGACTGGAGCTGCTGGAGGAGCCGGCGCTTGTGCAAGTGCATTCTTGTATTCATCGGGAATGTCCCATCTACTCGCCTTGGTTTCCGTGTGGTACCAGTACTTGCGCCCGTCGGCTGTAGTGTGTTCCCTCCAAGGCTGGTTTTCCAGAGCAAGCTAAAGAAGAGTTAGCCCAGTTCAGAACAATTGGGTTTGGCACGTACCTCAACCGCAGTCATCAATTCTTGCGGCTTTGTCCATTGTGTCGCCTTTGTCTGTACATTGTAATAATAGACGCGTCCATCTGTATTTCGCGCTTCCTGCCACAAGGCAGCTGAGGGGCCGTTGGGATTCATGGCGGTTGTTGGAGCGAGAAAGAAGTGAAAACGGAGGATTGATGTAGCTCCGCGCGTTTGCACTGTTTGCACCGTAGACTTATCGTTTATCTCCTGAGACTCGAACTCTCTCACTTGTCTACATGCGACGTAGCAATGCCTGGCTTGGAGATCCCAGGTGAATTTCTACGCCATGCTATTCTCGACACAGTAGTCCCCCATGCGCCAGCACTCGACATCGAGGGGGCCTTGAGTTCGGCTCTAGAGGACGGAGCTGATGACCTCCCCTCTGTTTTGTCGTCAATTCCGCAGCGATCTCTCTTGTTTTTTGGTATGCTAGTCGCCAGTCCTCCTGAGCTTTGTCTTACTTATTAAAGTGCTATAGATGAATTTCTCCCTGTCCGTATCGTTCTGCGACTGTCCGATTGTTCAGAGACCATCCTGAAGCACTACCTACCTCGGCTCGAAGTCAGGCTCGACGTGTTTGCAGTCGACCCGGCCGAATCAGTTGCTGAGAATCCTACACCAACCCGGGATATCATATTCTCAGGGACAGTGCGCGGTGAAGATGATCCACTCGTTGTGTTCAATGAATTCGAGGGCGAGGAAGGCAGTGGTAACCATGTTTACTTGGTCTGGAACATCGATGCCACACTCAGTGAGTTTGAGACCGTGACCCGACTGAGTAGTGGCTAACGAATATACGCAGAACGACCCCGTATCCGTATCCAACAACCGTCACTTTTGTTCATTGCCTCTGCTAGCCTGAATCCGTCTGATGGGTGTCGTCAGGAGGACTCACAGGATGACTATCTTCCCTCGCTCGTTGCGGCATCCACAAACATGCTCCAGCCTTTGTCTGGCGACAAATCAATCAGCCACAAAGAGCCTTTTCTTCCTGCATCCAGACTCTTAAGGGTTGTACCAACAACATACAACGAGGACCCAATATACAACATCCAACAACAACATGGCCACCCCTTTCGTGTTGTTCCTGCGGCGAGTGCAAGGATACGATATTCTCGACTCAATTCATACACTGGTCTTCCAACGACCATTGCCAGTCTCGATTTCGAAGTCACGCCGTTCTTGAGCAGCCAAGTCTCGTTTGACAAAGCAGAGCTTCACCTATCTGAAGGGACGATTGAGTCATTGTCTGACATACCAGGTCTTGCCCTCCCATTAACATGCTACCCACGAGACGATGTGACCCTCATGTACAAACTCACGCCAGAGTATGGCCCTGAGACCAACCCCTCCTCCACTGCCATGTTCAGCATGCTAGATATCTCACTTGGGGCAACAATTATCGTGGACAATGACTGCAAACCGCGCATTTCTATGCAATGGAGAACCAATGTCGACTTCTCAGTTGCCTTAAACCCTACTTATGGGGGTCCGAGTCCGGCGCTGCAAAGAAACAACCGCCCTACCAGTCTGTCGGTGTCAACCCAAGCCGGTGTATCACCTAATAACCGCAGCTCATTGCGAGAACGGGCGTACTCGGTCACCGATGTGGGTGTAACTATCTCATTCTCTGGGCCTACCCGTGTGCAAGTGGGATCTGTTTTCTCCTGGGACGTGTTCATTGTCAATCGATCAAATGTGCCCCGCAAATTCGCTTTGATTGCGTTGCCACGGAGAAAACGCGTGGATCCGCGAGGACATGTTGCTCGACCTTCCTCGTCATCCATCACTAGCCGAAAGGAGGACCATGTGGCCGAGGCAGTGACCGACGACAATATCGTGCATGCCAGACAAAAGAGTGTAGCCGGCCAGGAAGTTGAGTTAATCAGCTTGAGCACGGATATCCGTGTGGGGTACGCACTCTATTCCAATCTTCTTTATCTCCACTAACATTTTCTAGTCCTCTCCCGCCGGGAACCTGCCACTCAACCGAACTCAAACTCCTACCTCTAGCCACGGGACCCCTTCACTTGGAAGCTGTCCGGCTTATAGATGTGAACACGAACGAAACGACCGATATCCGAGACCTCCCGGACATCCTGGCGGATGATCAGCTTCGCTCTAGTTGAGGGCATCCCTACACTGTATATAATATCCACAGAAATGAGCTACTCGATGAGTGATGCAAAGATAGAATCTATAAATCCTTATGAGACACGACGGGGGCAGCTGGCTGGCTGCTGACAATCAAGCTGCGTGCCGGCTACTGTAACTAGTCATGACATTATACGAGATGCAAACCAATCTCTCAGTGCACGATTGATCATATATGGCACATTCCCATACTGGTACCATTGTCGTCCAAGGTCTATACAACTTTTCGCCAGGAATAATGTTGTTGAACATAATTTGCACGCGACGGGCTGATGATCTGTGAATCCCGCGGTAGTGAGTACCATATTGACTGTTTAACTCGTAGATTGACTTATGAACTAGGCTGTTGCTGAATTGAATCGACTTCAAAAGTCACACGAGTGTATCAACACACAATCCATAGAACCAAAATAGGTCTCGAACCAGCCCGAATCCCGCCACAATCCACCTCCTATCTCGGGATCAGAGTAAGAAGCTTCCCTTGCTCAGCAATCAAGTAAATCTCAATAGTAGACATCAAGTTCTTCCCTCCAGACCCACTCCCAAGCACCTGCTCAGCAAAACCCGCATCTGCAAAGTCATAAACAACTCTGGATAATACCGCTGGATATCCCTCTCCGACACATCGACCACCGCGGTGCTCCAGTCATCGCCATCAGAAGCGAACAACATGCATTCAACACCTTTTTCACTAGTCCACCACTCGGGCATCAACTGTCTATTACTCTCAGCTTGTCGTAGGTACCGACCAAAATCCTCGATGCATGCATAGAGAAAGTCCTTGCAGTGGGGACGGTCATCCCCCACGCGGAGACGGTAGGAGTCAATGAGCAGCTTGAAGACGTCTCTCTCAGACCGGTCGTGGAGCCACCTGTTGGAGCGAAGTTGGTGGAAGGGCATGGCAATTTCAGCATCTAGGACATCGAATTTGTCGGTTGCGAATCTGTGATTGCTCTCCGAGGGTTTTTCGTCACTGGGAGGACTGGCCAAGGTGGCGGCGGCTGCTGCGACTGCTCCTGCAATTGCCTTTGAGAGGGCTTTGGCGTGGACGTTGGCTTGGGATTTGATTGTGCAGGCCTCCTTGTGGAACTTCCAATCCATCTTCTGACAGGGCTGGCTACAATACCAGGCTGACTCGCAGCGGCTGCATTTCTTAAGGCTTCTGGTGCCGGGGTCTGTTTTGCCGCATGCATTGCAGCTCTTCTCGATGGGAGAACGTTCGTCTGTCATTATGGTTATTGTTGTGGGTTTCTGTTAGTTTATTTCGACATGGGGGTCAGGTTCGTATAAACCAGAATAGGTAAATCGAAGAAGGCTCACGTCTTGTTCCTGTGTCGTTGATGATGCTGTACGCGAACTCCTGCTTGTGATAGCTGGGAATCGACGAACAGCACCGAAAGGAATGGAAAAGAGGACAACGCTTTTGAACTTGATGCTCCAAAGTGGTAAGTGACGAAGTTGGGATTGAGTAAGCAGATTGATCAGATTCGAACCAGCAAGCAACTACGCTTCGGCTCACTATGCCTAACGATCAGATTATGAGAACATCTCACTCTACTGGCACTTCCTGCTCACTACGGTTACTTTCAGTATGAGCTAGCTCCGATCCAATGACCATATCATCTCCGCTACTCTGACATCAAAGTAAGACTCTAAACAATTGCGAGGCCTCTCAACGCTCAAATTTCATCTGCACTTTCAGCAGATGCATCACACTCTGCTAACCGGCGATCACCCCATACAACTGCTCCGCAAAGATACGGAGCTGCAAAAGGATCAGAGGATCCCCATAACGTTCTAGGGGCTGCAACGCGTCAGTGGGGCATGCATGAACAACCCCCCTTCCAGGCCTCATCAGCCAGCGCGAACTGAATGAGCTTCTCGGTGTCGTCGGGCGACCACCACGCGGGCAACAGCCCCTTTCGCCATGCTAGCTTTAGCGACGCACGGAAAGCGTCGCTCTTGGCCTCGGTTACTACCCCATTGTGCATCATGCTCACGAGGTAGGTGCTTGCGAGCTCGTCTTCCCAGAGGCAGGACCATGAGCTTGGCAATATAGTGCTGCTACTGTGTCATGTAACCTAGCATCAGGTAACCTAGCAAACAATATAAACACATCAGGACGCATCCCAATTGAGCGTAGCTGTATTAGAGCGAGCAATGAGTGATGTTCCAAGCACGGTCTCCGTAAGAGAGCCTGTAGGCACCGCGTAGTAACCGTGGCTACCACTTCACATGTATTATGGAAGAGAAAAAGGATTTTGTTTTGATTACCGGGGATTGGGCTAGTAGCAAAGCATCAAGCCTATCTATGATTATGCATCCATGGGTGCTCCATGTGAAGTGGATGCTAGTACATGCGTGCCAAGATGGCCCCAAAACCCAAGGGTGCGAGGGTCGCGAGTAATTTATACATCCATTGTTCTGTTTCAATCATATTGACGCGACACACAGCAAGGAATCGGGCATAAGATTGATGGATTGTTGTATATGTTGTCTACGACGTAGTCAAGCATTATATAGTCCAGAAAGGCCTCTGATTGGCTGTCTGAGATGACGGTGTAATCGACGACCAGGTGACTTTTGTTAGTCATGGCGAGACGCGGAGACACTGATGGGAATCTTGGGAATCTGCCTGTTCTCAATGCTCTGACAGCCTCTTTTCTTGACATAATTTTATACAATACTATAAACCCGGAACTCCGGGGCTAGCATAACCAAGTTCATCCGGATTTCATTGACTTTGCGTCATACTGGCGCACCTCGCCCTCATCCCAACCCCAACCAGTCATTGTGCTCCCGTCATCATCCTTCATCATGATCCTCTCCGCGAAGCGAAAAGTCCTGGATGGCCTGAATAAGAGATACATCTACGGTCGCGTGGTATGTGATCCGCCCAGCCCGGCGCCTCGCTGTCGCTCCCCCGGCCTGTTTGAAGGAGGCTAACCCTGTCGCCTGATGTCATTATTCTACAGCCTCTATTGCACACGATCATCTTTATCATCGAGATGGCCGTAGCGGCACGGCTTGCTGCCAAATTTAACGCCTACTATGCCGAAAGGCCAGGTATGCCTCTACCCGCCACATCCCGCTGGGCCACTCTGACATGTTATCTTCATATAGTGCTCACTACGATGGTCACCAACGCTGTAAGCTGCCCTTAGACTCGACAGGTCCCAATACGAACAGATAGTTGACAGTGCATGGATATAGGTGCTTGGTGGTGTCGCCGATACTGTTGCGCAGCTGATTACGGCTGTCAGAACCCGCCGGGCCCAGACCTCTGGGAACAGCGAAGATTTCCTCTCAATAGAGATTCATGACTTGGACAAGGAAAAGCCTCCTGCCGTCGGGGAACTGGGTTTTTCCCGTCGTTCACCCGCACCCTTTGATTTCGAACGTCTCACCAGGTTCATGGCCTATGGTTTCTTCATGGCGCCGATTCAGTTCCAGTGGTTTGGCTTCTTGTCCAGGGCGTTCCCGCTCACCAAGATGAACCCGAATGCTCCGGCTTTTAAGCGCGTTGCGTTTGATCAGTTAATCTTCGCGCCGTTTGGTATGTCCTCCCTTTTTACTCCATCGAACTGAGCTGACTCGTAAGGTCTGGCGTGTTTCTTCACCTATATGACCATTGCCGAAGGTGGTGGCCGGCGGGCATTGACACAAAAGTTCCGTGATGTCTACCTGCCTACTCTGAAGGCCAATTTTGTACTCTGGCCAGCGGTACAGATTCTCAATTTCCGCGTCGTGCCTATTCAGTTCCAGATTGTGAGTTCCGCAGCTTGTGACAAGAGACCCTAGACTAACCTCTCAATCAGCCATTTGTGTCAACCGTTGGTATCGCATGGACCGCGTACCTTTCTCTTACCAACTCCGCGGAGGCGTCCTAATTGCACGCTTCAAGCGAGTGTCACGTTAACGACCGAGTTATATAAATCGCAATGTTTTTGCTTTATTAGGCGCTTCGGGTGAACGGGTTTCATGTATATTGTTATATGGGTTTTGCATTCCAAAAGGTCGGATATTGCACATTTGGGAATCAAATCGGGGTTTGCTGTCTATGGACTTTTTAGGGAATTTGCTTTCAACGTCACATGTTCAATGTAGCGGCTATGGACATTTCCATCAGTAGACGATTTTCCCCAGAAACCTCCGACCCCGAGGCTACAAGGACCTTCATGGCCCGGCCCTCTCCGTATCGACGGCAGCTCTGACATCAGTCCCGCATCAGCCCGATCAGTTCTCCGGGGCTGGTGGGGGTTACCCAGAAAAGAGGTACATATATTTGCTAATATACTTCCAGTACAGCGAACCAACTCACTGACCAGAGAGTACCGCTTCCGGACGAATACATCACCGGTAAGTACCAGTTGCTACGGGATGGCGACCTCTTCACCGGGCCCCACCAAACCAACCCCTCCACTCTTTACTGATCGCGACTCACCGTGGCCTGATTAGTTCTCCTTTTCTCACCCCTCCTTCATTCTTACCATTGTTGACTATCATACTCACAATGTCTCTCTCCAACAAGCTCCCCATCACTGACGTCGACCTCAAGGACAAGCGTGTCTTGATCCGGGTGAGTACCCCGTACTCAATTACCAAACTTCAGCTGCTAATTGGAACAGGTTGACTTCAACGTCCCCCTCGATGAGAACAAGAACGTTACCAACCCCCAGCGTATCGTTGGTGCTCTGCCCACCATCAAGTATGCCATTGACAACGGCGCTAAGGCCGTTGTGCTCATGTCCCACCTTGGCCGTCCTGACGGCAAGGTCAACCCCAAGTACAGCTTGAAGCCCGTTGTCCCCGTCCTCGAGGGCCTCATTGGCAAGAGTGTCACCTTCACTGAGGACTGTGTCGGTGCCAAGACTGAGGAGATCGTCAACAAGGCCACCGGTGGCCAGGTTGTCCTGCTCGAGAACCTGCGTTTCCACGCCGAGGAGGAGGGTAGCTCCAAGGATGCCGAGGGCAAGAAGGTCAAGGCCGACAAGGCCCAGGTCGACGAGTTCCGTAAGGGCCTCACTGCCCTCGGTGATGTCTACGTCAGTATGTGTCACCCTGCTCCCTCGACTCTCGTTCCCAGCTAACCCACTGTAGACGACGCTTTCGGTACCGCCCACCGTGCCCACAGCTCCATGGTCGGAGTCGATCTCCCCCAGAAGGCCGCCGGTTTCCTCGTGAAGAAGGAGCTGGAGTACTTCGCCAAGGCTCTTGAGAACCCAGCCCGTCCCTTCCTCGCTATCCTCGGTGGCGCCAAGGTCTCCGACAAGATCCAGCTGATCGACAATCTCCTGCCCAAGGTCAACAGCCTCATCATCACCGGCGCCATGGCCTTCACCTTCAAGAAGACCCTGGAGAACGTCAAGATCGGCAACAGTCTCTTCGACGAGGCCGGCAGCAAGATCGTCGGCGAGATCGTCGAGAAGGCCAAGAAGTACAACGTCGAGATCGTGCTCCCCGTTGACTACGTCACCGCCGACAAGTTCTCCGCCGACGCCAAGGTCGGCTCCGCCACCGATGCCACCGGTATCCCCGACGGCTATATGGGTCTGGACGTCGGCCCCAAGTCCGTCGAGTCCTACCAGAAGACCATTGCCGAGGCCAAGACCATCCTCTGGAACGGTCCCCCCGGTGTCTTCGAGCTGAAGCCCTTCGCCAACGCTACCGAGAAGACTCTCGATGCTGCGGTCAAGGCCGCACAGTCTGGCTCCATTGTCATCATCGGTGGTGGTGACACTGCCACCGTTGCTGCCAAGTACAAGGTCGAGGACAAGCTCTCCCACGTCTCCACTGGTGGTGGTGCCTCCCTCGAGCTCCTCGAGGGTAAGGACCTGCCCGGTGTTGCTGCTCTGTCCAGTAAGTAAATGATCAAAAATAGACGGGAAGGGGCACCCTGGATTCGAGCATGTTTATGAAACTGTAATGTACACAGCCAATGAAATTTTCCTTTAATCATATCGTCCTAAGAGAATCTTTTCTGTTCTTAGATTGGATAGCTAAGTCTGGTGTGCTAGGTACGAAACCCAAGCTTTGAGTGGTATGCTCGATTGAAGGGACACGCAAATACTACATGTGCATGTAAATAGAATCCAATATAAAAACTTACGATTATCCCCATGACAGAAGAGATGTAAGCAGATACTCCCAGCCACATCATAGATGTACCTCGCAAATCCATGTCCCCTTTTCCGGTATAGCATCCCCAAGACCTAGGACCTTGGCCTAAAAATCAACGAAAGAAAGGAAACGGGAAAGTAATTTGCGAAGCCCAAGGCTCCAGGCTCATATTCACGCAATAAAAAAAGAGGTCATAAATCAAACAAAACATTTCTCATTCCCCTGACAAGCCCACTTCATCCATCATCAATGACAGACACGACCACCCTTCTCCTATTTCCTTCCTCGTTTCATCCCAATCCGTTTCGCTCCATTCTAGTGACAGGGGTATAGGGAAAGTGCGAGACGGAAGGATGGAATGGCCGATCGATGTCGAAAGCGATGCGGGGTTCTTTCTGTGTATGGGATTGCGTGGCTTGTCTTGTGCTTGGGCTTGGGTTTGTGCTTGGTGTTTTGTTCAGGATGAGGCTTCGACTTTCTTTAATTCTTCTCTGTTGCGGGTGGGGTTTGTTAGTTGTGTGATTGATGGAGGTTGCTGAGGGAGGGATAGCTGCGGCGAGGTCATGGTTGGGAGCGGGATTGAGGGGGATTGAAGGGATATTGGGTGTAGTTGGAGCGGGCATAGCGCGCCGGGGAAAAGGCAAAGGGCAAGAAGAGACAGCAAAGGACATCGCTGTCTAGGGCAGTAGGTGACCATCGCGGGAATACGCACTGGAGCTGCTTGGAGAAATCCTCCGCGGCATCGTCGTCATCCCAGCTCTCCTCCCAGAGGTGCTCGCTACCTCCATTTGCTGTCGAGCCAGAGGTTGGCTCGGCTTCTTCCTGGGGCCAGTCTGTGTAATGCTGGGTCAGTGTCTGTCTGTCTCTGTGGGAAGGTGTTGCGTTGGGGTACCTTCAACGGGGAAGTCTTCGAACTCGTCGTCTTCCTCCAGCACTTGGGGCTTTTGCTGCTGGGGCTGCTCTGAGAGCTCGGACTTTTGGGTGGAGTTTGACATTGTGTGTGTGATGTGTGTAGTTGAGAGAGGTGAGGTGTTGGAGTTGGAGCTGTCAGAGCTGGAAGCGGTGACTAAGGCGATAGGCGATAAGATCAATACAGGGCAGAATACAGTAAAAAGAAGAAGTTAATAGTGTGTAGTTAATAGTTGATGGGTAATATATAATAGTTAATAGGTTAAAGTAATAAATAGAATGTCAGAATGAGAACTAATATAACATCAAGCTCCAGATCCGATCCGATCTCGAACTCGCTAACAGCTTCGCCCCTCGGAGGTGCCGGCAAGTCCAGTCTTAAGTCCATGGAAAGTGATTTATTACTTTCCTCCCGTCAGATTTGGCCCCTCGTTTTCTTTCTTTGTCTTTCTTTAACTCTTCGCAGATGTTCCCGGAATTTGTGCTCGGATTCGGATTCGCATGGGACCGTTGACATTCTTCCCAATCCGGTGTTATCTCACGCCTCAGCCTTAACCATACTTGTTTTCCACTTCCTACCGTTAATTTTCACCTCTATAACTCTTGGTCTGCACCATGTTGCGAGTCGGATCATGGCTGTATGGCAAGAAGCCGACACAGTCGGTGGACTCCATGGTCGAAATAAAAGACTGTGAGTGGCGCTGTGGTTTACTCCGGAGGTCATGTGCGTGCTGACAGCGATATTTTGCGATAGTGGTGGAGGCGATGCAAGGTGTGCACCCATTGAACGCACAATCGCGGAGAACTTGGCACTGATCACTCCCAACTAGCGGCGACACTCATTCTCAATGACGATGTTGACGGCGCCGAAGCCAATCTTGCCACGGGGTCCTCTACTTTCCACCTGGTGCGTGATCGTCACTATATCCGATGACGTACCGCCGCTGACTGCGATATAGCTGGGCAAAGGTGTGGTCGCATTCGTGCGAGCGACATTGGGATTCGAGCAGGAGATTATGCGACAAGGTGGAGATACTTTCCGGATTTTGAGACGCAATCATTCTGACTTGTGCAGCCTCCGAACGACTCGGCGAAGCGGAAACTAGCGCGGGCAGCGACCAGGCTCGGGCGCAACAGAACGTCAATGCCCCCAATGCCTTCCACTCCGGTATCTATGCTCCTGGCTCGGAATATGCGCTTTGCCAGGCAATCGCCCAATTGATGAGTGCCGTTGTGGGGGTACTGAACGAAAGCCTAACAGAAAGTATCAAAGCTTTCTATAGACTTAGGAAGGCTTATATTACGTTAGACGCCATTATGAAGATGGAAGAAAAGTTCATGGAATCACAAGATCCGAAGAAGGTGCTACTTCCCACCACCAGCGACCTCTCGAGGTTGAGTGCCGAATGTCCGGACAACAAGTCAGACTCGTCGAGCCAGACCTCGAAGAAAGACGGCAAAGTGGCTACAGCTGAAACCGCAGAGCTCAACCGATCATTAAGCGGGTTGGCCGTATCTCCTGAAACAGCATCTCCGGGTGCCTCGACAGGCACTTCAACGCCTTCTGCAAAGCACATCCATCACGACCCTGACTCGGATATTTTCAAGAACGAAATCGATGTTTTCGTGCACTCCGGCGCCAATTTTTGCTTCGGTATTCTTCTCCTACTGATTTCCATGGTCCCACCAGCATTCAGCAAGTTACTTTCCATTATCGGATTCCACGGCGACAAGCAACGAGGACTGAGGATGCTCTGGCAAGCCAGCAAGTTCCACAACTTGATCGGCGGTATGGCTGCCCTGGCATTGCTTGGCTATTACAATGGCTTCGTTCGCTACTGTGATATCATGCCCGACCCGACTCCTGGTGAGACCGATGTTGAGGGATACCCGCAGGAGAGACTCGCTGCTTTGCTGGCCGAGATGCGGTCCCGATTCCCTAACAGTCAGCTCTGGCTGCTGGAAGAATCGCGTATGAAGGGAGCGAATAAGGACCTGGAATGTGCTCTTGAGCTCTTGAGCACGAATGCCAAGAGCCCGCTCAAGCAGGTTGAAGCATTGTGCGTGTTTGAGAAGAGTTTGAATGCATTGTTCCTCCACCGATACGACGTCTGTGCCGAGGCATTCATTGAGGTGAGTTGTTAACCCCAATATCAGAGACATCCCGCTGATCTTGCAGTGTGTGGACCTCAACTCCTGGTCCCGATCCCTATATTACTACATCGCCGGATCATGCCATGTAGCCCTATACCGACAAAGCCTGTCCGATCCCAAGCTGGCAGAAGAACACGCCAAGAAAGCCGCCCTATACATCCGCCAAGCACCAGCGCACGCGGGCAAAAAGCGCTTCATGGCCCGCCAGCTCCCATTTGACATCTTCGTAACCCGCAAAATCGCCAAGTGGGAAGCACGCGCCAAAGAGTGGGACGTGCCCCTGGTGGATGCCATCGGCGTGGACCCCATCGAAGAAATGATCTTCTTCTGGAACGGCCACAGCCGCATGACCGAAGCGCAGCTTGAGGAATCCCTCACCCGACTAGCCTGGTGTGAAAGCGACGTGAACAAGACCTGGTCTCGCGAAGGCACAGAAGAAAAAGCCATTCTGGAACTTCTCCGCGCGGCTGTTTTGCGCTCACTGTGCAAATATGACGAGGCGAAGAAGATCCTGCAGACTCGCGTGTTGAATCACGATAAGTCCCTGTTCAAGGGCCATCTGAAGGATGACTGGGTCCACCCTGTGGCGCACTTCGAGATGGCGGCTAACTTCTGGATGGAGCGTTCCACGTACCAGACGCTTCATGGGTTGTCTACCTCTACCCCTGCCGTTGAATCTGACAAGAAATCCACCAACTCTGGGAGTAGTACCCAAATCGATACTGAGAGACAGAAGGTACGCAAGTGTAAGGAGTACCTTGACCATGCTGCCCGGTGGGAGAGCTATGAATTGGATGCTCGCATTGGTCTCAAGGTTACTGCTGCTATGGAGGCAGTTCACAAATGGGAGAGCGTGCATCCGTCCGCTTAGGTTAGGTTCACACGGGAGTCTACTTATTTCGCTGTTCATATGGGTGCATGTATCATACCATAGATAGACATGTTTAGACGTTAACGTGTTCTAATCTGTTTTCTATACTACTCACGTGACGTCACATGAAACGGCCCCCACTCCCACCGGCCGCTTTCTTTCCCCACACACGGCACGTCGGAGTTAATGGCATGCCGACATCGAGTACAATACTCGAAATATCGGGCTTCGCTACATTGAAGCTGCATGTACAATGTCCTGCTGAATAGCCTATTGGCATAGATCTCACAGCCCTCCGATCGAGACTCCGATCAAGGCACCAGGGTGCTCGACATGGTTGACACGCCACCGAACCGATGTAACCGGATAGCACGGCTCGTCCGCCATCGGAGGTCCGAAAAGCTTGAATAAAACAATGAGGGTCCCTCCAGTTGACTCCAGTTCGAACTAAGCCTCAGCCCTGCTTGCTTTGCTTTGAACAACTCGCGAACCTCTGGACCGGGCTCCTCTTTCCTCTTTCTCCCCGTTATCTCCGAGGGCAATATCTTTTTCCATCGGAGATTTTTACAGATACCCCGATACCCCAATTTTCAATAATTCCCTCCCCAACGGCCATACAGCTAGCTACCTTTGCAAGTTGCAGCAAATGTCAATGTCATATTGAATCCATAATCCATGAAAATCACAACACAACGAAATGACAGAACGAACACCCCAACTCCATTCAGATCGCAGCAGCGTATCCATATCAAGCGACAACATCGAAGCGCAATCCCACCACAGCCACAGCAATGAAAGTGCCGTCACAGCATCACTAGCAAAACAAACCACAGTCGCATCGGGTATATCCGTCTTCGAGCAGCGCGCGCAGTCGGTCATATCGCGTATTCGGAGTCGCGAGCCTGGGCAGACTGCTAAATTTACGCATCCGCTTTCACATACGAGGACGACTGAGGATGTGATTGTTGATTTTGAGGGATTAGATGATCCGTACCGGCCTTTGAACTGGGGTTTTAGGAAGAAAGCTTTTACGACTGTTTTGTATGGGTTGACTACTATGGGTGAGTTACGTGTGACTTTTGGATTTAAGTTAGTGTGGATGTATGTGGATTGAGCTGATTTTTTTCTTTCTTAGGGTCTACTTGGGCGAGTTCAGTGTAAGATCTTTGTCTATCTTGTTTGGGTTGTGTTGGATTGGAGCTAATTGTTCGTAGGTATTCGACTGGCCAGGGGCAGATCAGTGAGGAGTTTGGTGTCTCTAATGAGGTTTCTACACTAGGTACATCATTGCTACTGTTCGGGTTTGGATTGGGTCCTTTGATCTGGGCGCCTCTATCGGAAGTGTTTGGGCGCAAGCCCGCTGTGCTGGCGCCGTACTTCCTCGCGGCTGTGTTCTCGTTTGGTACGGCTACTGCGAAAGACTTGCAAACTATTATGATCACTCGATTCTTCACGGGCTTCTTCGGCTCGGCTCCAGTGACGAATACTGGCGGTGTTTTGGGTGATATCTGGACACCCGAACAGCGTGGAGCTGCCATCGTTGGTTATGCCATGGCAGTGGTTGGTGGACCTGTACTCGGTCCAATTGTCGGTGGTGCCATTTGCCAAAGCTATCTCGGCTGGCGATGGACCGAATACGTGAGCATCTTCTTCCCTAAGTTACCACTCAAAACCCCCACTAACAATAATTAGATCACAGGCATAATGATGATGTTCTTCCTAATAATGGACATCCTCTTCGTCGACGAGAGCTACCCACCAGTACTACTAGTCTACAAAGCCCGCCGCCTCCGATTCGAAACAGGAAACTGGGCCCTCCACGCGCGCCACGAAGAATGGGACGTAACCTTCAAAGAACTCGGCAACAAATACCTAGTGCGACCCTTCCAACTCCTCTCAACCCCAATCTGCTTCCTAGTCGCCCTCTACGCCTCCTTCGTCTACGGCATCCTCTACCTATCCCTAGCAGCCTTTCCAATCGTCTTCCAAGAAGACCGCGGCTGGAACCAGGTCGTCGGCGCCCTCCCTTTCCTCGCTTACCTAGTCGGCATCCTAATCGGCGGCGTCATCAACCTCGCAAACCAAAGCTTCTACCTCAAACGATTCAAAGCAAATGGTAACCGCGCCATACCAGAAGCTAGACTGCCACCCATGATGATTGGCTCTGTCCTCTTCGCCGCGGGGATGTTCGTCTTTGGCTGGACTAGCCCGAAACACATCCATTGGATTTGCCCGATGATCGGTGCTGTCATGATGGGTTTTGGTTTCTTCACGATCTTCCAGGCTGCGCTAAACTATCTCATTGATACATTCCAGAAATACGCTGCTAGTGCTATTGCCGCCAACACTTTCTTGCGCTCTATCTTTGCGGGTTGTTTCCCGCTTTTCACTACGGCTATGTTTCATAACCTAGGGGTGCCTTGGGCTGCTAGTGTTTTGGGTTTCTTTTCTATTGCGCTTATTCCAATCCCGTATTTGTTCTATATATACGGCAAGCGGATTCGGGCGCGTGGATTTTGGTCGCGAGAGTCTGTTTGAGTTGTAATTTGAGCATGTGGATATCATTTGTAAGTAGTGCTAACTTAACGTTAACTTATACCTTGTACATACTTGTGGCTAGTGCCGCCTTTGCATTGGAGATACCCTTGAGTTTCAACCATCTTACTTAACTTGCCATTTCTTTTGATATGATGGAATCTACGAGCGAAACATACTTTACCTTTTAAGGTTTACTAGGTAACCGAACTACTAATGGGAGAATATTCAATAGAGACGTTTCGATATATTAGAGGATGACAAAAAGCAGAAAAAGGGCAAAAATCTGAGCAGACAGGATAGGAAAATATAACGAGAGAAAATAGTAAGTATAGACGACCGTGTATAGATCCGAAGATCGAGGTCGAAATGACATAACCACATCACCAAGACATAGGAAATATAGGACCGATCGGTCCATTGAACGAGGATCAAGACCAAACGGAAATCAGCAATAATTTAGAACATACACACATGTAATGCATGGCGTAAACATGAATATAAAAGGAAATAGAAACAATGGGAAAAAATAACGGTAGGGAGGATATTTGTCCTCCATTTTCCAAACAACACCGGTTTTGCTTTTTCGCTTTTCTTTTGCCTTTTTCTTTGCAGTAATATCCAGGCCGAATCAAAGATCAAGCCCGATTAGCGACTAACGTGTTGTTACGCCGCGTGAGCTTCCGCGCCAGCGTCTTAGCTTTCGACCAAGCCTTGTTCTTCTCAACGCGTGCCATAGGCTCAGGCGAGTCAAGAACAGCCCCGGTAGCAAGGTGCTCAGTGGGGATATCATCCTGGTGCTTGGTATTGTGCAAAGCCAGGACAGCCATCTGACCCAGGAACGAAGGATGCTCGATTAGATCTTCGAGACGAACCTTGAGACCCTCCTGCTCAAGTAGCCAAGTAAGCTGAGCCAAGTTGAAGATATCACCTCCAAGATCGAAGAAGGATGAGTCGAGCTGGAAGGCGGATTGGTGGGTTTGCTTTTCATCAGTGTCAGGGCCGATTGGCGCTGTGGTCGTGCGGCTGGGTAGGACCTGGTGCCAGGAGCGGGAGAGGATGTCAGAATGCACGAGGAGCTCGGCGATGGAGCGAGACTTGAGATGCGCGCTGAGGAAGTGCTCGTCTGAGGGACGGGGGAGGTCGTCGATTGTCTGAGGTGGCAGGGAGCGGAGCATGCTTGCTGATGGTAGCGATGCACTTGGATTTGCAACTAGGGACTGTGCGATTTCGCATGCCATGTTTAGTACCCTTGATGCGAATGAGGGCATGATCGGGCCCTTTTCGGAGTAGCCTAGGGTGACGTCCAGGCCCCGTTCGCCTGAGGGTCGTGAGACCATGGTCAGGTCGGCGAGGTTGTCGTTGACGCCAACACCGCCCATGCGGTACTTAGTACTGTCCAGCTCAAGGGTGCCTTCGTAATCGACGTTCTGGTGGAAGACCGACGTAGTGAAATAGGTCCAGGCGGGCCAGTCGGTGCATTGTTTGATGATCTCGCGGAAGCCGAGAGACTCGAAAGGCATGTTGGATACCTGCTGGTCTTGGATGTAGCGGAAGAGATCGACGCCTGTCCAGTGCTCGCTGAGCTTGATACGCACTGGAATCACGTTGACGCAGGGGCCAACGGTGTTTTCAATGCCAGGGACTGTGGCGTTGCGGCCGCTGATTGTGAGGCCGAAGACAACATCCGACTGGGCGGACAGTTTGGCGAGGGTCAGGGCCCAGGCGGCCTGCATGACGGTTGCGATAGTGACATTGCCAAGGGCAGTTGGTGAGATCTCAATGCGCTTGTGAATCTCTGTGAATGCTCCAATGTTCTGGAACATGCTGGTACCCTTTCGGCGCACAACCTGGGTCATTTGAGATCCTTTGAGGAGATCAGCCCAGTGGCGGTAGTGGTCGGGGCCAATTGTGCCCGGGAGCTGACGAAGGTAGCTGGAATAGGGAGTGACTGGTGGCAGTGGGCTTCCCTCGTATCCGTGCTTAATGGCGGCCATGATCTTGGACAGACACACTCCATCGTACTGGGTGTGCGACAGGCGGATCAAGATACGGTGCTGATCGCTGCCCTTCTTCTTGACAACGTAGAACTGCACGTACTGCTCTCCTTCGCGGGGACCGTATTCGCGGTCACGTTGCTGGAGAGTCATGGTGAACTCATCGAGAGCGCGATCTGTCTCATATACAAAGATGCTGGGACGGATCTTGCGCAACACAACCTGGAAGAACTGGTCGTGGAAGCAGACAAAAACGGTCCGCAGAATGTCGAAGGCATCCACGATCTTCAGACAACTCTCGCGAAGGCGTCGCAAGTCGAGGGGACCATTGCCTTCGAGGTAGAAGTAGTTGAGCATCCACCGGGACTTGAAGAGAGTTGCTGTCAGAGACATTGCCTGGAAGTCAGTGACAGGGAGAACGTCTGCGATGCCACCTTTGAAAACTCCAATCTTGGGGCAAATTCCACGCTGGACATCAGCGTCGTCAACGCACGAGGGCTTGAGCATCTCAATGCTCTCAGAAGACGGGGTAGGCCCCAGCGTGGTTGGCGTGTTGTCAGGGAAGTCATCCTCCTTGGTGATGGCAGATTGCGGTTGGAGATCCACATTGAGCATCTGCTGAGTGATGTTGGCAGCACGGACAGTGGCAACCATATCCTCAAAAACAGGGTTATTGAAGACATCCGCGACAGTGAGAACGAGGCCTTCCTCGCGGGCCGCGCTGACCATTTTCATGGCGGTGATACTGTCACCACCTAACTTGAAGAAGCTCTCCTGGTGTCTCACCACATTGGGCGAGAGACCAAGAGCTGTACTCCAAAGGTTCCATAATTTCCTTTCCACGTCGGCCGACATCCCCTCCTGGCTGGAACGAGATGTCGCCGAACAAACACCCGAATCATCGGCACCTTGAATACCCATCTGGTATGGCGAGTCCGCTATAGCATCGGTGCGGACGTACTCCGACAAACCAGTAGTCTGGATAGAGGGCACCTGCAATTTTCCTTCTCTTAACATCTTTCCAATAATCTCATGAACACGATCATCAATAATCTTTTGAATAGCACTGTTGTCCATTGCTTCTCCGGTGGACTTAGCCTTGTCAGCGAGGGTGGTCTGAGAGCGATCCCAATCCAATGACTCCGACGCGGTATCGGCACCAAACTTGGCCTGCGAGAGAGTCGCAGTCGGGGATTCAATGAATCCAGTGAACACTCTGGCGATGGTATCAGCCAGAGACTGTGCGTGCTCGTCAGACACAACATCGCTCCAGTATCTCAAGAGAATACCCTCTTGACCACGGGCAATTTCGACGTTCACAGTGACCGCATACTAGATATTGTTAGCAATTGTGACGTGGTTTATGAATCAGATGTACTTACTTCGCTGGGGTCATGTGCATGCTGGAGATCAAAGGACAATCCCTTATCCTTGGAGCCACCCGCGACCGAGTGGTTCTGGATGGACAGTGTAGTGTTGAAGAGGGACCGTCCTTGCCAGCCAAGCTCATGCTGAATGCTAGCCAACGAGCAACTCTGGTGAGGAATGCATTTGAAGTAATCATCCTGAACACTCTTAGAAAGATTGATAAGGGTCTGCTGGCCAGAAAATTGAACTCTGCAGCAAAGCATGTTAATAAAGATGCCAACCATGTCCTGGATGCCATTGACAGGGGCATCACGACCGGCAGACAGATAGCCGAAACAGACGTCATCGGATTGGGTGAACTGGCGCAAGACAATAGCCCAGGCAGACAGAGTCAGGTTAGCAAGAGTCACAGAGCTCTGCTCGCAGAACTTCAGCAACTCAGGGAAGCGCTGGAAGTTCATCATAACTCCCTTGAGTTCACGCTTGAAGCCAAAGTCAGCCGAGTGAGAAACATGGCAAGGACGCACTCCTGCAAGGTACTGCTTCCAGTGATCAAGAGCCTCGCTTTGGCTTTGGGTACGAATAAATTTGATATAGTCGCTGAAGCAAGGTCCCGAGCCCTCAGGAAGCTTGCGCTCGTAGGCTAGAGGCAGATCACGGAGAAGAACATCAACCGAGCCACCGTCAATGATGGCATGGTTGATTTCCAGCTTGAGAATGACCCGCCCCGTGTTGGTCTTGCAGACGGTCACTTGGTGGGACAGTCTCGATTGCCGCATCGCATTCATGTCACGAAGGGAGATAGCGGCGAGCTTCTCTTCGACCTGGGAGTCGTGACATTCCACACGAAGGATACTACTGGTGACCTTCTTAAGGACCAGCTGGTCGAATGACCCACCACTGTAGCTGCTGTCGACGAAAATAGTCCGAAGCACAGGGTGACGATCAACAATTGCCTGCCAGGATTGTGCAAGCTTCTCTGCATCGACCTTGCCACCCTTTGCATCCTTGATCTCGAACACAGTGTGGAACATGTAGGCGTTGGGGTCGCGGAGCTGGCTGAGCAAGAGACCCTCCTGCATGGGAGAGCAGGGGAAGATATCCTCAACATCATCCGTACTGCGTATTCCGGCCTTGCGGAAAGTGCTTGTGGTAAGCATCTGGAGGCCTTGGTAGGTGATGGGAAGAAGTGGGTAGTCGCTGAGGGTAGGCTCGGAAGCGGCTGTCTTCAGAACCAAAAGGTCCTTCTCGAGCGTCTGCTTGCACTGCAAGATCCATCGGCGGATCTGTGGCTCATGCTGCATCTTGCGGTTATAGCTGAAGGCCACGTTGAGACGCTCTTTGATGACAATGGCCGAAAGTTCAAACAGAGCAAAGCGAACTGTTTGAGGACCCATATCACCTGCAACAGCGAAGTCCGAGCCGTCGAAAACACTGCCATGGTGGTGAAAGAGGGAGTCGGCCCGCTCCAGCTGCTGGAGTCGTCCAAGGTAGTTGAACAGAATCTCCAGCGGAACAGGGAAGCCAGAAGAGGCTGCGTCGTTCTGGAGGAGGCTCTTGGCGAAGTAGGGTCTTCCGTTGTCAGCGATATTGCGGCGAGTGTCCTTGACACGCTTGATAATGTCGGTAATACCGCCTGTTTGGGTTAGTATGATATCAGACAGGCGGAAATATTGTGACTTACTAGCCCCTCCATCGACCAGCATTGGTGCAATGGTGGTAAACCAGCCAACGGTGCGGGAGAGATCAATGCTAGAGTCCCAAGGCTCTCTGCCATGTCCTTCGTTGTAGACCGTGGGAATGTTGCGATCGGTGAAAGTGCGCCCAAAGGAGTGAATGATTGCAGAGAGTAGGATATCAACGGTGTCAGTGCGGAAGACATCGTGACAGTCATCGAGAATGAACTTAGTGGTCTCCTCACTCAAGCTGAAAGATTCCATCTTGAGATCACCGTAGACATTGGGCATGTCTTGCATACCCCAGTAGCTCAGGTTCGGCTTTTCGGGTGTGAAAGGCAGGGTGATGTTAGCATCGTGAATCTTCAATCTTTCTGTCTGCATAAGACACCAGCCCTGGAAGGAGAGTGCCTTGTCCAAAGATAAAGAACCAGAAACAACCAGCTCCTCGAGATCTTGAAGGACGATGCGCCAAGAAACCATGTCGATGCACAAATGATGAGCAACAAGGAAAAGGATCTGACCACCGGCGCGAAGATTGAACAGATCCGCTGCAAGAATAGGCCCGTTCTGGGGATCTAGAGACTGCTGGCTGTCGGCGATCTTGGGGACCATTTCGCGCGTATCGCTGACAGAGTGGACACGGAAACGGAAAGACTCATCAACCTCTGCGGCCGTCTTTTGCTGCCAAACGCCATTCTTTGCACTGAATCGTGCTCGGAGCATGGCGTGTTGACCGATCACGGCCTTGATCGCACGGCGGAGCACCTCCCCCTCGACGCGGCGAGAGATGCGTACAGTAATGCTCTGGTTGAAGCGAGCCTCACCCTTGAAAGAGTGCGAGCTATGGACGTACAGCTTCTGAACAGGCGAAAGAGCGAAGCCTTCACCAGACTTCTCCTCGGGCTGCGTGACAGCCACCTTTGTGCCAGCGGTCTGGGCAAGCTCTTTGACTGACCGACTCTGCAAGATATCGTGCAGTGTAACAACAAGGCCTTGCTTGCGAGCTCGGGAGATGACAGCCATGCCAGTGATACTATCTCCGCCTATGAGAAACTCATTAGTATTTTGGATGTGTCCGGGAATTGGAGGCAACTTACCCAAACTGACGAAAGATCTGTCGACATTGACCTTCTGCAGCGAAATGTTGAGGACCTGGGCAAAGATTTCGCGGATAATATTGAGAGAGCCAGTCTTCTCTTGCTCCTGTGGCTTCTCCTCGGTACTACCGCGCTTGATGCGATCATAGTCAGCCATGATACGCTCATACGAGTCGTCATCAATGTCCTCAAGCCAAGCAGTAAGCTTCTTCCTGTCAAGCTTGCCAGAGACAAGCATAGGAAGCTTCTTGATAAGGGCCCAGGTCTGAGGCACCATGTAGATAGGCAACTGGGTCTCAAGACTCTTCTGAACATCAACAAGTTCATTGTAAGCGTGACGTTCGAGTTCATCCTCGTCAACAAGTTCACAGGGCTTGTCGGAGATCAGTTTGGTGTCAGCTGCAACACTGTTGAGAGACATGACAGTAACAAGGCGCTGCTTGAGTGGGCCATTCTTGGGAAGAATGACGACGGCGTGGCGAACACGAGTGTCTTCGTAGAGACGATGCTCAATCTCACCGAGCTCCATGCGCTGACCGTGGAGCTTGACCTGGTGATCCTTGCGGCTGATGTACTCAATAGAGCCGTCAGGGTTGTAATAGCACAGATCACCGGTTTTGTAAATACGGCGGGGCCCACCAACCTTGGACTCGAAGTCCTTGATCCAGGCTGGGTCAGTGACAAAGGCCTCCGCATTCTTCTCGGGGTTCTTAAGGTACTCTCTTGCCAGGGCAGCACCCTCGAGAGCCAATTCACCAACCGCACCAAGAGGGGTGAGGCGATCGTGGTTTTCAGGATCGATAATCCATGTCAGTGTGCTGGGGATACCGTAGCCAATACGTGCGGGATCACGGCTGGCGGCGACTGCATTGTCAATAACGGCAAACACACATGTCTCCGTGGGACCGTATCCGTTCATAAGATGAACAGTGTTGGCCCACTTGGTGATAACCTCCTTGGACATCTTCTCTCCACCGCACACCAGATGCTTGAGAGAGGGAACCGAGGCAGGCTCAATGATGCTAGCAATGGATGGGGTGAGGAAGGTCCAAGTGACGTTCAGGCGACGGATTGCGCCAGACACATCGTTGAGACGGTCATCCTCACTGGGGACACAGATACAACCACCCAACATGAGGATTGCAAGTGTCTCCATGATAGCAGCGTCAAATGTGAGGGATGCGAACTGGAAGACTCTGGAGGTGGCATCCATGCTGACCATTGGCGCGAACGCCATGATACTGCTGACCACATTGCGGTGCTCAACAATGATTCCCTTGGCACGACCAGTACTGCCAGAAGTGAAGAGCGCGTAAGCCATGTTGGAGGGCTGCACCGGAGTGCGACCCCGGGAGGACGCCTTCAGGGATCCATAGGCCTTGACGGTTTCCTTGCTAATGGGAATAACGGTGTTCACCACACGGCTGTACCGGTTGGTATAGTTGGGAGTGCAAAGAATCATGTTAGCACCGACGTCGGCAAGAATCTCCTCGTGACGAGAGGTAGGGTGAGACGGATCAAGAGGCACATAACCACCACCAGCAATGAGAATACTGATGAGGGTTACCATAGCCCACACTGATTTGTCAAGACAGACTGGGACAAACACTTCTGGGCCAACTCCGCGAGAGATAAGGTAGTTGGCGAACCCAGATGCGAGGTTCCAGAACTCTCTGTATGAGAGGTCACCATCCCAAGCGCGCACGGCGGGGGCATCTGGAGTCTCAGCACACTTCTCGCGGATGAGATCATGGACACATCGCTCGACCACAAGAGGTGTGCGGCCGTTCCATTGACCAATCTCAGTCTTGTCCCCGGGGCTGACCATATCCAGATCACCAATCTTGCTGGCGCTGTTCTTTGGCATGGAGATCAGCTGACCAAGGATATGGGCGAATTGCTCAGTGATGCGCTTAGTTTGCCAACCATTGATGACAAGCTCATCGTGATGAACAGTGAAAGAGATGCTTGTCTTGGAAATGCCACATTCCACAACGAGGGAGTGCGTGAAGAAGTCCTCACTTGTCTCTCGCTTCTCATCCATCCAGATCTTGTTGTCTAGATCACCATCATTGGACTGGATGACAAGCAAGTTCTTGAAATCGCAACCAGTTGCGGTATCCTTGTTGAGCTGGCGAATGCGCTGGAGACCGGAGTGCAGGTGGGGGATCATCTGAGTGGTCGACTGGTGGATTTTCTGCAGGTACTCGAGAGTTGACATCGCATTGTCAACTTGTACACGAGTGGGGACGGTGCTCAGGACAGGACCAACAATTTGGGCAACGCCAGGTAGATCAATATTTCTGCCGGACAAGGTCTCGCCAAAGCAAACATCACCAGATGAAGTGTGAGTAGCAACGACAATAGCCCAGGCAGCGCGCATTAGAACGGGAATCGTAAAGTCAACGCTGTTGGGAGTTCGAGAAACATTCAGGGTGTGGTACTGGGTGTTTCCAGCGCGGATAGCATCAGGTACTGCGTTCTTGTTCTGGGGGAAAGGAGTGCTGGAAAGACCCGCGAGGTAGGACTTCCAGAATGCATCCGACTCTTTCATGTTCTTCTTGACCAGGTAGTCAATGAAGAGGCTGTAAGGAGTTCCAACTCGCTTAGTTTGAGCAGCGAGGTAGTTTTCCTCTACCTTGCGGAAGACCAATGGAATACTCCATCCATCGTAAAGTGCGTGGTGAACAGACCAGACGAAGTAGCTAGTGGAAGATCCATAGGGCTGGACCATAGCGTAGCTGGTCAAAGGCGCACCATTTTGCTTGGGCAGGTGCATAATGTCGTGGCGAAGAGAATCGAACGACTCGGCGTGCACCCAGGAGATTGGAGCATCCTTGAAGACAACCTGCGCGAAATTCATGGCCTCAGTGTGCACAATGCGGGTGCGCAGGATTTCAAGGTCTGCAACAGTCTGCTGCCAGGCATCCTTGAAGCGATTGACATCGACCCCATCTGCAAGACGGAAAGCAGGCTGGGCGACGTAAGAGCCACTGTGCTTAATAGAGAGAGTGAGCAGGCCCTCTTGGACAGCGCTGCATGGGTAGACATCGCTGATGAGATCCCTGGACACCTCGCAGTTGTCGGTGATTTCATCAAGTAGACCTTCGGTGTCAACGTCAGATGGTAGAAGTGAGAAGGGCTTGACAGCGGCAGGCTTGGCCTCAACAGTACCAGCTGAAGCCGCGCAGCTCTTGGCCATGTCAATCAAAATTGGCGTGTTGAAGATGCTCGAGACAGTGAGCGCAATTCCCTCTGCTTGGGCCGCACCAACGAGGTTCATGGCGGACAGGGAGTCACCACCCAAAGCGAAGAAACTGTCATCAGCAGTGACAGAGCCTGTCTCGAGCTGCAGAGTGCTCTCAACCAGGGCCACAATCTTAAGCTGCATGCCATCAGCTGAGGCCTCTTCCTTCTTGTCAGATGCATGGAACGAGATGTAGGACTTCAGAGTCTCCTTGGGTAAAGACTGAACCATAGCCTTCAGTCTTCGGCGATCGATTTTAGCCGAAGAGGTAAATGGAAGGTTGCGGATGGGGAAGAACAGTCTGGGGACCATGCTCTGGGGTAGAAGATCAGGCAAGGAGGCCTTCATCTTCTGGATGACATCTATGTTAGACACGGAGATGGGCAGTAGTAAAGGATCAGCCCCAGAAATGGTGGGTGCAAATTGATCGCTGCTACCACCGTTTGAAGCAGCGTCGTGCACAGTGAAGAATGCAGCGAGTCCCTTGGCAATGGTGCGCTCCTCGGGAACGACGACATCAACCGCGACCTGTGAGTCCTCAGGAAGGCAGCGCAGACACTGGTGCTCGATCTCCTCAAGCTCAATGCGCTGGCCGTTAAACTTGATCTGGGTATCCTTCCGGGAGATGAATGCAAGAGTGCCATCACTGTTGTACCGCACCAGGTCACCAGTGCGATACATACGGTCCTGGCGCTTGAAGAGACCCTGAAGCCCAGCATGGTCGTTCCAGGTGGGATTCTCGAAGAAAGCAGCCTTGGTCTTTGCTTCATTTGCAAGGTATCCACGGGCAATGTTGCTTCCTTCCAAAATCAGCTCACCAACAGCACCAACGGGGAGCAGGCGGTTGTAGTTGTTGGGATCCACAATCCACACTCTACAGTTGGCAGCGGTTCCGATAGAGGTGGGATCATCGTTGACACGGTTCCCATCCCAATCAACCTTCACGCCGACAGTAGCGACGACGGTGGCTTCGGAGGGGCCGTAGGCGTTGATAACAAATCGGTCGGCCCAGCGGTCAATGTGGTTGGCAGGCATCTTCTCACCACCGGTGATGATGGTCTTCAGAGTGGGAACAGTCTTGGGCTCCAAGGTATTGACAATTGCGGGAGGAGAAGACATATAATTAGCCTCCATGCGACGAATCGCACCACCAAGGTTGTTCATACGTTCTTCCTCGCTGGGAACGCAGACACAGCCTCCAGTCATAAGAGTCATCATAATCTCGAGAACACTAACATCAAAGGTGTAGTTCGAGAACTGCAACGCACGGGTTCCGGAGTCCATGTGCAAAGCATCGGTCATGGCCAAGGCTGTGGTGCTCAGAGCGGTATGCTCAACGACAGTTGCCTTAGGCTTTCCAGTGGTACCAGAGGTAAAGATAGCATATGCGGCGTTACTTGGAGAAGGTCGAATACAAGGCATAGCTAAAGGTGAATCTGGAATTTGAGAGATAGAAGTTTGGCAAACAGCAAACGACTTTTCGCACAGCTTGGAGACCTTAGCGTGGACCGAAGAAGAGCACAGGACAAGGCCGGTTCCAATCTCATCAATGAGCATCTTCAGACGGGAGTCTGGGTGGGAGGGATCAATAGAGACGAAAGCTCCACCGGCTTTGAGAACGGCCAGCTGGGCAACAACGGCCCAGGCGGACTTCTCGAAACATAGGACGACAAAGACTTCCGGCTTAATACCTAAACCAGAGAGATGACGAGCGAAGCGGCTGGAAACCATCTCGAGCTGTCCATAGGTGAAGTTCTTATCCCAGGAGCAGACAGCCTCAGCGCGGGGATGCAGAAGCGCCTGCTGCTGGATAAGCTCATCTGCACACTTCTCGACTCTGGGAGGCGAGGCGGCGTTCCATTCGCGAATCTGGCGAGTGGAGCGTTCTGGAATCAGATTGATGTCTCCGACCGTATGCTCGTGCAGGTTGAGGGTGATGAGGTCGTCCAAAACCTGATCGAACATATCGATCACATGGTTGATTTGAGAGGAGGAGAGGGTTCCGGAGGAGTAGTTGAAATGGATCTCTGCATAGGAGTGCGAGACCTCTGCTTCAACGAGGATATTGTACGTATTGGAGGTGTTAGGCTCTCGGATACTTCCCTTGGGCAGGGACGAGGCCTTGCGGTAGGTAAGACAGGTGTTGAAGAGAGTAATATCATCGAGACCAAGTTGTCGCTGGACCGCGTCCAGAGAAGCGACGTTCAAAGCGCCCTTTTCAGCGTCGATCTTGGCCTGCTGGAAAATGTTCAGCAGCTTGCGCTCATTTTGCACAAGGAATCGACAAGTAGCGATGGACTGAGGGTCCACCTTGGTGTCCTCCGAAGGAGAGGTGGAATAGCCGAAGCAAATATCGTCTGATCCGGTATACCACCTCAGGACAACGGCCCAAGCAAACTGGAAGAGAGTCTCCACAGAGATACCAGACAAGTCACCAAAGGCATGAGTCTTAGCAGTCTGCTTGTTGAGTGTACGCGTGGAGCGACCATCGTTCCCTGCCTCGTGAGAGAGCGCAGGGAAGACGCAGGGCTCAACATCAGCAAGATACTCCTTCCAGAAAGCGGCGTTACTCTCGGAGAGACTGGCATTTCGGGAAGTCCGGTTACCCGCCTTGGTCCCAGTCCAATTTTTAATGTCGAGAGCCTCCAAGGCACTGCTTGAAAGCTCCTGTGTCTCAACTTTGAGGGCTTGGTGGTTTAGCTTTCCAGATGAGGTCAGGGGAAGGGAGGAGACGGGGATGTAAATACTAGGAACCTTGCTATTGGGCAAACTAGTGCTCAGGTAGTTGTGAAGACTGCTGACGATTGTCTTCAGATCGGCGGTGGGGGATTGGACAACACGTTCGCCAAAGGTAACTGACGGAGTATCCGCAGAAACCAGGAAGGCCACAAGGGCATCAACTCTAGCGGTGTCGCGTCCCAGTGTAATGCCTTCCACGACGCACTTCTTGTTAACCCCCAAGAAGGAGTCAATTTTGTGGTGAGTCTGGGCCAAATCGCCGGCTGAGACTGACGAATTCTTGTCACTCTTGCGTCCAACGAAGACAAGAGATCCATCGGAGTTGTAGCGGACGAGGTCTCCAGTCTTGAAAACGCGGTGCTTACCATCATCACGTCGACCGGAGAACCAGGATGGATTCTCGAAGAAGTCGTCGGTCTCGGACATGCTGTCGAGGTAGCCACGAGCAACAACGGGTCCCTCGAGCGCGAGTTCCCCAACACTGCCAATTGGAACAAGGGTGTCGGGGTTCTCGGTGTCAACAACCCAGGCGAGGCAGGAGGTGCTCTTACCGATCAGGGTGGCCTCATCCTGATCTTGAGAGCAGAAGAGGTGGAAGCAAGCAGAGGAGGTTTCGGTTGTGCCATACAGAACCTGGAGAGGGAGATCATCGTCCTTCCAGTTGTCAAGAACACTCTGAGAAACAACCTCCCCACCGAGCGCAATGGACCGCAAACCCGGCACATCCTTTGGCGAGAAGAAGCTTGCAGCAGTGGGGGTGATGCTGGCTACGTTGGCGTGGAGAACATTGATAGAGGCAGCCAAGTTGAGAGGATCGACGTCAGCCGGAATGCAGACGCAACCGCCCCACATGAAAGTACCGAACGCCTCGAGGAGGAATCCGTCGGAGGTGTGGGGGGCAAACTGGAATGTTCGCGAGACATCAGCAATAGCCATGGTTGTAGCAAATGCCTCAGCACGACTCATTACGGTGGAGTGCTCGAGAACGACACTTCTCGCGGGACCAGATGTGCCGCTGGTCATGGCAACATATGCGACTTCGGAAGGCTTTGTGACGGGCTTGAGAACCTCGTCAGCGAGATATTCAAGCAGGGATTCGCTGACGGGGATGACATATGGAACAGTATCCTCGAGGATCTGAGCCTTCTCAGGTGAAGCCAGAGCGACCTGGAGAACATTGTCGACAATCCACTTCTCAACCATGGGCAACTTTTGGGTGCTGTTAACTGGCATGCAACCTCCGCCGGCCTTCATGACGGCTAGGGTGGCGACCATGTTCCAGACGGACTTCTCAAAGCAGATCGGGACAAGTGTTCCAGGGGCAACACCAAAGTTGACCAAGTACGTCGCGAGGCGCGAGGAGTACTGATCAAGCTTGGAGTAGGTAAGGTTCCCATCCCAAGCAGTGACAGCAAGAGCATCGGGGCGCTTCTTAGCCATATCTTGCACGACGTGGTGAGCGCACTTCTCGAAAGGCTTGGGAGTCTTGCTGTTCCAAGTCATGATCTGGGCCTTGTTGTCCTCACTGAGGTTGTCAAGCTGGCTGACTTTACCATCAATGTTGGAGACAATGTTCTCGAGACACTTAAGGTAAGTGTTCGCCACGTTAATTGCTTGGGCATCCGAAAGATTGCTAGTCCAGTAGTTGAGGTCAATGCGGGCGTTGGTGTCCATAGCCTCGATGTTGATAAAAACCGGGAACTCTGCTGGATCATGAATTGATCCAACCTCAATGCACTCGATGTCACTTTGAACAGCATCCTTGGAACTCGGGAGTCGACGGTAAGAAACACCCGAATTGAAGAGATTGGTGTCGGACAACTTCAGAGCGTGTTGGATATCAATGAGCGAGGTGTGGCGGAAGGAAAGGCTCTCCATGTAGTCATTCTGAATTCGTTGCAGAACATCACTGAGATTGGAGTGACCAGAGACCCGCATGCGGCAAACCAGAAGGTTAATGACCGGGCCAACCACCCACTGAACTTGATCAACGGAGATATCTCGCAGCGAAGCCATGTAGCTGAATGAGACATCGTCAGATCCACAGAAAGCACGGAGAGTCAGACCCCAAGCAGCATTGAACGCATTTGCCAGCGTGATGCCGTGCTTCTCGCAAACACTCTGGAGTGCTGAAAGTGCACCAAACCGGACGGGAATCGACCGAAGACTCTTCTCTGCCTTCTCACCATCGACAAGGGTAGGGAAGTGGCAAGGCTTAGCATCAGCCAGGTAGGAGCGCCAGTAGTTCATACTGGCTTCCTTGGGCGCATCTTGCAAGTACTGCATGTAGTCCTTGAACAAGGGCTGCGGGCTCTCCTCGAGTCTTCCTGCGTATGCTAACTGCAAGTCACGCATAATGATTGAGATGGAGTTACCATCCATGGCAGCGTGACTAAGTTCAATGCGGGCAAAGATTCGACCAGTGGATGTCTGGCAGATGGAGAAGCGATACGCCGGGGCCAGCTCACTGTAGTCTTTGGGCTCTTGGTTGTCGAACGTAGCGAGGACGTCGCTATCGCCAGACGATTGCAGGAAGACAGGAGTGGCATCGTATTTCTTGAGCACAACCTGGCAGAACGGATCGCGAGGGGTGAGGTTCTCTGCGAATATTGTGCGGAACATCGCATGGTGAGAGACGACTTGCTGCCAGGCATTGATGAGTCGGTCCAGGTTGGGTTGGTTTGCGCCAGTGCCTCGGACCTCGAAGGTGTCATGGACAGCGTAGTAGGAGCTGTCACGGGTACGTCCGAGCAGAATACCCTGCTGCATACGAGAGCATGGATAAATATCTTCTACAAGGTCCGAAGACTCTATGCCCATAGCAGGCAATTTCTCGTTGAGCAACTTCTCCAATGTTGGGTAGGTCAATGAGAGCATCGGGAAAGAGCTGAGAGTCAGACGGGGCGACGCAGTGGGGAGCTGCTCGGAGAGGGAAATGAGCAACTGCTGGCAGTCGGACACCCAACGGTGAATGCGGTTCTGGTGCTGCATGGTCTTGTTGAACGAGAAGTTGAAACGGACCTTGCCAGCAACGACCATGGCAGAAATCTCGAACAAGCCAAAGCGAGGAGTATCAAGTCCGAAGTCAGCGGCACCACCTCCTTGGCCGGCCTCACCGGCCATCTGGTCGACAAGCTGGAAGAGTCCATCCTTCCGCTGCAGATCGCGATGCTGACCAACATAGTTGAAGGACATCTCGAACGGATGGGGGTGCTCGGATTCGTTCTGGCCAGCAGTGGGCAAGACTCGGCTGGTGAAGTCTGCACGTCCATTGTCCGGAACACGGCGACGGAGATCTTTCACCTGCATCAGGGTGTCGATCGGGTTGTCCGATTTGTATGAGGAAACGAAGATCGGTTGCAAAATTGTAAACCAGCCGACAGTGTGCGAGATATCGATCGACGAGTCCCAAACTTCACGACCATGTCCCTCATTGTAGACCGTCGGTAGCGCACGATCAGGGAAGGACCGGCCGAATGAATGAATCATCGCGGCAAGGAAAAGATCGATCGGCTCTGTGCTGAGAGCATTATGGCAATCGAACAGGATTGCGTTCGTGTGAGCGGGGTCGATCTCGAATGAAGCACAGTCGACATCACCGTAGGTGGTTTGAGTGTTTTGCAGTCCCCAGTAGCCAAAGTCGGGAGTGGCTAGAGCATCAGTCGCAACCTTATGCTCGATCCGAAGGTTGTTACAGTGCTCGTTTTGGAGACGGCACCAGGTCTGGAAGGGAAGAGAATCGTTGCTGACACTCTTGTCGGGATTCAAGACGAAGTCCTCCAAGTCTTCCAGAATGATCCTCCAGGAGACGATATCTACAACCAGGTGGTGAGCAGTCATTGACAGTACATGTGGTTGGCCCTTCACCGTGAAGTAATCAACTGCCAGGAGTGGGCCGGAGAAGCAGTTGATGGATGATTGACTGTCAGCGATTTGGGGCTTGATGGCATCCATGTGGTCAACGTTATGAGCCCTCCATCTGTAAGAACCCTTGATATCGCGGGTAATGTGCTGACTCAATGCCGTTGCATGCCCTGTGTCTATGAATCGTGCGCGGAGCATGGAGTGCCGGGAGACTAAGCTCTCGATAGCCTTGCGGAGTGTCCGTTCGTCAAGTGGCTTGTTCATGCGGACCAAAACACCCTGGTTGAAGTGACCTTGCCCTTCCTTGCGAACACCAAAGTGGAGAATCTGAATGGGTGAGAGGCCGAATGCCTGATCAACGATCTCCTCGTACGTCGTCATGTTGCTAATAGTCTTCGCTCGGGTGGCGAGATCTCGGATGGATTTGCTGCGAAGGATTTCCTGTACTGAAAGCGCGAACCCATTCTTCTTGCACAGACCAATACATGTCATCGCCGCAATCGAATCACCTCCAAGCGCCAAGAAGCTCTGGTTCAGGTCCAACTGGTTCTGGGGGATGTTAAGAACGCGGCTGTACACAGCGGCCAAAGATTCCTCCCGTTCGTTGGCAGGCTGTGAGTTCTCTGCATCGAATACCGGGACAGAGGTGCTGTTCTGAAGGTCCGGATCACTTTCCATACCCGCAACCCAAGTAGCGACACCTTTGCGGTCGAGTTTCCCAGATGGCAAAAGTGGCAGAGCTTCAACGCAGAGCCAAACCGCAGGGACCATATAAGTCGGAAGCCGTGCGGAGAGACGCTCACGGATTCCGGGGACAATCTCAGCCTTTTTCGAGGCGGACACTAGCCGCAGAGGCTCCAAATCTGACTCCAACTGTTCAGCGAGTAAGCCCGTAGAAGAGATAACCGCTGCCAAGCGACCCTTGGAGAAGCCCGACTTGGGGAAGAAGACGGAGCAGTGAGTGACGTGCGAGTCGATGTACAGTTGGTTCTCGATTTCGCCAAGCTCGATGCGCTGTCCGTGGACTTTCACCTGAGTATCCTTCCGACCAACGTAGTTGAGTGCACCAGAGTCAGCGTTGTACCTGACAAGATCACCAGTCTTGTAAAATCTGCGGTTAGAAGGACTATCCGTCTCCAATTTCGTGAAGGCAGGATCGTAGATGAAAGATTCGTTGGTCTTCTGGGGATTATTCACGTAGCACCGGGCCAGGGGCGGGCCTTCCAAAAGTAGTTCGCCGGGGCAGCCCACAGGGACCAGTTCGTCGTGGTTATCAGGGTTCACAAGCCAAGCCCTGACACCGATGGGCAAGCCGATATCTTTGCAATCGGTGTCTGGTGTAACACACGAGTTGAGCACGGAAGCCACACTGGCCTCAGTAGGCCCGTAGCCATTGACCAGTTTAATTCTGGACCAGGTAGCCAGCTGCGACTGCGACATTGCCTCGCCGGCCAGGACCAGACTCTCCAGTCCTGGGACGCTGTCGATTTCAATGAAGCCGATGAATGACGGAGTAAAGCATGCTTGAGTGACTCGCATGTCATTGATAGTGCCGACAATGTCGTTGAGCCGAGCCTCCTCGCTCGGGATGCACACGCACGCACCATGTATGAGCGGCGTCAACGACTCAGCCAAACTAGCATCGAACGTGTGCGCGGCAAACTGGAGACAGCGCGAGTCTCGGAACACGCGCAGGCCTGGCCCATGCACGATGGCACTCGAGAGGAATGCGCGGTGCTCCAGCAAGGTTCCCTGCAGAAGTATCCAAGTCAGCGGCTGAATCCCTGCAAATTGCAGGAGTAACAGTGTCTCTCACCTTCGGCTCTCCAGTGGACCCGGAGGTAAACAAAACATAAGCTGCGTTTTGACTTGTAACACCCGATGCTAGATCGACACTGTCTGCATCGGACAAGCGATCCAAAGTCTCCGTGTTAAGGGGTATTAAAGTATTTACAATAGGGCGAAGCTTCTCCGCACGCGTGTCGGAGCAAAGCACAACTGCAGCCTGGACGGATGTGATGAGGTTCTGCAGTCGGGAAGTTGGGTGCGTGGGATCGAGTGGGACGAAAGCTCCCCCAGCTTTCATCACGCCAAGCATTGCGACGATGTTCCATTTCTGCAGCTGTCAGCCACCTCTCTTCAACAAAATCTCAAGAAAACTCACCGATTTGTCGAAACACAATGCCACGCGGACTTCCGGGCCAACGCCCTGCATGCGCAAGTGGCAAGCAAGCTTGGACGCATGGTGGTCCAGCTCAGCGAACGTCAATTTGCCATCCCACGCGCACACAGCCTCGCGGTCTGGTCCACTAAGTACCTGATCGTGGATAGCATCGTGGATGCAGCGATCGTGAAGTTTAGGAATAGTGGAGTTCCACTTGCGGATGCGTTGCCAGTCATTCTCCGAGAACAAATTAAGCTGGCTAACAGCGGTGGTCTCAGCAGCAAGGACTTTGGCAAGCAACTGCTCAAAAATGTTGGCGACACTCTTCATCTGCTCTGCAGACATGTCGCCCTTGCGCCATTCAAGGAACATGCTGATATCTCCACGCATGACCTTGACATGAAGACGGACTTGACACTGCACGTTGTTAGCACGAATTATACTGATGTCACCCAATGATCCGAACTTGTACTCACCTCATCTGAGAGAGCCGTCGCCAAAATAGGTTTTGAAGGTGAGGCCGGCGGATCATATGTGCGCAACATCAAGATTGTGTTGAAAGGAAGGTATCCCTCGGAAGCGGCCTCCGAGCTTCCACCATTGTGCTGTTTTCTCAGGCCGATTGCGCGCACCTTATCTACAATTGCCGTGAGAGAGTCGTTTTCGTTGATCGATAACCGAATGGTCGAAATGTTGGCGCCATTGGCACGCTGTACAGGTGATTTTGGAGAGCGCGAGTCTCCCTCGAGGTGTTGGTACCCGAAGCAAATATCCTCCGAGCGGATATAGTAGTGCAGGACGAGGGCCCAGGTCGCGCGCAACAGTGAATCGAGGCGACCTTCGTTGCATGCCGTTAATAACTGCGCATGCTGAGCGGCGGTTGGTCTCGTCTTCATCGAGACTGGCCGTTTGGGCCCGTCGACCGCCGAGGCGAACCGAGGCAAATAGCACTGGGTGGATTGAGCCATGTCTAATTACGGGGTATCGTTTATCTTTCCGGTTTGTGCTATTCCTTTCCTGCGGTCGAAGAGAGTGGAGGACCTCAATGGACGATGAACGACAAAATTAATCCAAGAGAGGTTGACAATTGGCAGCGCTCGCGAAATCGGATGGAGCCGGTTGTTTTAAACGGCTACAGGGTTTTTTGTTATTTATTTTTAATTACCCTAAGCTATAAGTCCCAAGCCAGCATCGCCATGCCGGGGCCAAAGCCTGGAGCAATGGCAAATCCGCTATCTTCCTTGCATGGGTTCGGATCTAGATGAATCAGAGCGAGAGAAAGATACGTACTGTGGATCGATACTTAGCCCCTGTGGAACCAAGTCAGACACTTTCTTATATTTTTATGTGAATTTTATTGTCAGTTAACCCTTTCGCAGCCTAACCCGCTCTGGCTGCTAACACCGAACATGCAGGGGCAGAGTCCTGGGCATTTTCCCCCAAGCGAAAGCCTGCAGTTCCCCGGCCAGCCCTTGCGGTCTCGAACGTGGCTCCCAGCAAGGTATAGGTGCCGTCTACTCGATACGCCACCGAGAAATGATGGCGATTTTGTTGTCCTCATGGTTTCGTTCTCTATTTGGCCTACTCGTCGTGCTGACCCGCTGACGATGATGAGTGTCAAAATACATAGGGCCTAAGGAACATGCGCTTGGCCCCTATGCCCTCATTTCCTGTACAGATGATACGGGTGTACGATGCAGCTCTTCTGCAAACTTTTGGCGCCAACGCAGGTATACGGGCTCCTCACGAGGTGAGCCGATTTTCCTTTACACCGCCTTGTGCACATGGCACTGTCCCCCAATCGCTTGGAAGCTCAGAGTCCGCATGGTAAATGAAAAACGAGCTGAGAGCTCGGCGTAAGGTTGAAAGACGGTGTCGATCGATGATGATTTACCGCGCAGTCCTGTCACGCCCGGCTGCGAAGACGTGGAGGTCGATCTTGTCTGATCGCGATCGAAAAGTTAATGTGCCCTCGATGTTGTCTCGGATCAAACTTCGGAGAACTTCCAAGGTTATGTCAGTGGGGTATCCCCGGAGTCACATTGCCCCTTCATACGGAGTACGTCGGACGTTGGATCTAAGACACTGACAGAGATGTCTTAGGAAAAGATAGGCGTTCGGAGGAATGATCGGCTTAGTGGACTAGCCCTAACTACAGTATCGGCGGCGAAACGACAAAGCCGGAAAATCTTGCGATCTAATTTCAACTTGGGGCCAGAGACGTAATGAAATGATCTGTAAAACGTTCGCAGATTTGTTATGAGGGCATAAGCCACTAGCAGTGGCTTCTGCAAGGGTCCTCAAGGGATGTGCCTTTATCCAGTGATCTGTCTACTTGCCAATGCCATGAACAGTAGCATCTACACCTTATAGCCCCTATTCCTTATGATACATTTTTTGTTGCAGAAGATCTGTTAGAACTGTCGTGATCAAAGAAGCAAAACCAAGAAAATTCTCCTAAATGTTGCGATCGTGGCTAATATTTGCTTTTTGCATCACGCCCTTCATCTTTACTACCTCCATGTGGTCTTACATTGCTTTTTCTTTTATCTCGCTTACAGATTTTTTTTCCCAGTCCGAATTTCCCTGCTTTTTGTCCTGATCGTTCTCGTATAGACACAAACAACGAGGACCTGGAACGTACATTTGTCGTTGTTTCTCCACTCGCCGGTTCAGATTTTAACCTCAAGATCGATTTTGATAGGCGTTGTACCCCTGTTCGGGTCGAGCCGTCTAGCTGTTAGGCGTTTTCTATGTTGCCTGTCAGCTAGATCCGGCTAAGATCCACCAATCGTCCAAGTTTAGTGGTATATCGCGAAGATCCTTGGCTTGGGCTCCCGAACTAACCGGTTTGTGGCCTTTCGGGAGGCTTGGTTGGCGAGCACTAGGCGGAGCTAACCAGGGCTAGTGCGGGATTGCTAAGGATAGCTCCCGGGCTGGCGTCGATGCTAAACTAGTTCGCACTAGACTAAATTGGACAAGGGACCTGACAGGTTAATAAAATTGTTATGATCCACCCGGCGTCTGCATTACAGGTCACTTTCGAAATATCTGCGATCGCTTGAGCCCCAAGAATAAATTAAATCGGCATACTGTACTCTACATGTTAAAGCCGTATAACTTACTACGGATGCGAAAGCATGCCCCTCCGCATTGTTGGGGGATTTGGAATCGCCTGCATATGTTTCTGCATGGGGTTTGCCACGCTTCACAAAAAAACCGGGCTTACCCCGGTCGGCCTCCACTATGCCAGCCTGTCCAATGTCTCTGCTGTACTGTAGGTACAGACCCCGAGTCCTGCAGGTTGGCCCAGCGACTGTGGCCACCACATCTTGGAGCATGCAGGATTCCACGTACATGTACGTCCATACCCACCCGTTAGGTCAGGCTCAATCGAAATCTAGGACGCCGACAACAGCCCATGAAAATCTGAGGGACTGTGGGGGTCAACTTTTAGTCTGTTTTATAACGGTTAAAATGGGCGATTGGGCAGGATGTTGCGCTTCAGTCCTGGTGGCAACCACTACCGCGAGTCAGAAGAAGCAAAAAGTCGTCACGACAGGTGGGGCATTCTGTGGAGTAGATATGAGAAGGGATTGTGATCATGACTGTTAAGGGCTGTCAGTCGCGTGAAATTCGTCTTTCTTTTCTCAATGTAGATCCCTCCGAAACTCTGCTTCACCGCGTTATTCGAGTCATTCGTACTCGTGTATGCATCTCACGTCAATGCCATGCGGTCAGAGGAGAGCAGAAAAAATAACAAAATTAAATAAAAATTAAATAAAAATAAGTTAGCGTTCGGTTTCACTCGGGACCCAAAAAGGATCTCCCGTCATACTAGGGGAACCGCCCTCGCATGAATCTAAAGCTAGCTTGCCCTAGTTCCAGACACGGGATTTGGCCAAAGGGGAAAGGGAGATCTCCTGGACACACAATTGGCCACTGAGACTATAATTAGTCCTTCATGCAAGGTCACACTTTTCACCTCGTGTTGGTCGGGATATACCTCTCAGAGGTGTTACTTTCTGACTCCAGGGGGAACAAAGCTATTGGTGCCTCTGCATCCCCCACATCCCCAAGGGGGACATAAATTCACAGTAAATTGAGCTTTAAATCAACATGACGACACCGAATGAGCAAGTGGGGGTCATGAAATTACAATCCAATCTCCAAGAGGGAAAATAGCCATAGAAAAGAGCGCGAAATATACCCAATTGCCCCTGTGAGGTGCAGCTCAATGGGTCGCCATACAGGAAAGGACATAACAACCGAAGTCTAGATGAGCTCATAGAGCATGGCTAGTATTTGCATTGTAAGACGATTGCATCAAGTCTTTAATCCCATGTCCACTCTGGTGCAGGGAGCCAGTGGCAAGGCTCATCAAGGCGAGCTCAGGGCTGTAATCCTCCTAGATGTGGTAAGCTCCTGCAAGAGGGATACAAGACCTAGTTGGCTCCTACGTACCTTCTTATGGGGACTGCCGCTAGTAGAAGTAGGATTCTAATGTCGCTTTTAGATGCATCCAATTCCAGACTAAAGGCCTAAACTTTCCCTAATGCATCTGCTTTAACTCCATACATTCGTTTGCTTTCATTTATTGCATTTTTCTCCTAATTCCCCGCTCGTTTCTTGAGTCTCTCTTCTCTTCAACCATCCTTCGTCGACAGGTGGTTCAAGATTAGACATGACATCCTCTCTCTCTTCAGGGCCGTCGTGCCGCGATCTGGACAACACTATGCGTATTGATGCTGGATCGTGTCGCGGGGGTTTCGACTTCTCTCTTTTATTCGAAGAAACTATTCTTGAGATCTTACCTATTTCCTTAATGCTAATCGTCATTCCTGTTCGTCTCTGGCACCTGTCACAAAAACGGAACAAAGTTCTTGGATCATGGTTGCTTGTCGTCAAGCTTGTAAGTGGCGCACTTCTCTTTGCTTTTTTCCAATCCGCAGCGAACACCGTCGGAATTGAAATGTAACCGGGCATCGGGGACTATTCTTATCTAATGCGTGTGTTTTCTCTATGACAGGCAGCTTGGTTGGGATTGCTAGCGCTCCAAATCGCCCAGACAGCTTTATGGTCTCTTCCAGCAGCCGACAGAACGAAGGCTTCCATTGCAGCCAATGCACTTCTGACAGTCGGTGTGCTCATGCTTGGTTTACTCTCATACGCAGAGCACACGCGATCTGTGAGACCATCGTTTATTTTAAACACCTACCTCTTCTGCAGCCTGCTTTTCGATATTGCGCGATCTCGAACTCTATGGCTACGTCGCGTGGATTCGTTCAATGAAATCATTGCTATTGTTACTACAGTAGCGGTAGCTGTCAAACTTGTTCTTTTCGTGCTTGAGGCTGTTGAGAAGAGACACATTCTCAAATCGAAATACGCCAGTTACCCGCCAGAAGCAACAGCTGGTTTCTACAGCCGCGCGGTCTTCTGGTGGCTGAATCCGCTCTTCAAGATTGGCTTTAACAGCTTCCTTCGTGTGGATGACTTGTCTGTCTTGGACAAGGAGCTGAGCTCTGAGCGGCTGTTCGCCAAATTTGAAGAAACATGGAGCAAAGGTAATATCTTTGTCTAGTATATGCTGAACATAGCTTGCTAACTCGATTCAGTGACTGAGAAATCTCCCAACACTTTGCAATTGGAGGCACTCAAGGCTGCCAAATGGCCTTTGCTTGCAGGTGTACCTGCCCGAGCATGTGTTGTTGCTTTCAACTTCTGTCAGCCTTTGCTTCTTGAGAGATCTCTGTCTTTCTTCAATTCCCCCGTGAACAACGACTCCAACAATGTTGGATACGGGCTGATTGGCGCTTATATTATGGTGTACTGTGGACTTGGAATTTCAATGGGTCAATATCAACACTTGACTTACCGTGGAATCACCATGGTCCGAGGAATCCTCATCACGATGCTCTACAAAAAGGCCAGCTGCCTGACTCTTACTGACACCGACCCTGCCAAC